TTTTAATCGACGAAAAAAGTGAGACATGTGCGTCTAACGCCTAATCGGACTGCGGGGTGAAAATAGTTTATGTAACGGAACCTTCCAGCTTGACCAAACGGACCTCTCTGACAAGTCAGTTATTTTCCATAAGTTAAGAGAGTCTTCCGGAATGGAACTAAAGTTGAGTTCGGACACAACCTACGCCACATGAGGACCATAATTTGTAAGCTATCCTTGGAAACAGTATCAGGAGTTAGCATTCATAAGCGCTACATAGTGGGACAAAAAGTTAATTCTGAAAGTAATCTAGCAAGCCGTCTATTAAACGTTACTTTTGCTTCCATTAAGGCAAGAGGCCTGATATTGGTAAATTTACAAAAACCCACTGGATCTGGAATACGTCCCTATAATTCTCAGTCTTGTTGATCTTATTGATGGAATATCGTCAGAAGGAGAAATAAATGAGCATTGTTTGAAAGGTGAAATACCCTACACTTAAGGGACTTCTGGACGTGGAATTTCGGAGCGAAAAGACCCCATGCCACTCTGGGTGGTATGGGAAATCATTCACAGAACCAAATGTATTTTGTACAAATGCACGTAGCATACTAAATAAAATTGTAGAGCTAAAATATGCAGTGGACAAAGAAAATCCTGATGTCATTACCATCTCCGAAACGTTGGTAATGTCAGAAATGTATGACAGTGAAATTCAACTGCTTGCTCTTTTAATTTAAGGAGCTGTTATAATAAATTGCAAAGGTGCTGAAGTTATTGTGTGCATGAAAAGTACCATAACCATACGAGCTGTTGAGACAGTGACGCACACTTAGGGACATGTGAAATGATGAGCTCCCGGTTAAAATGCATATTACAAGATGTCGAGTTAATTGTAGTATAACGCAGAACAGAATGCGTAGTGCATGAATTCCCTCTAAATAAACTTAAGTTCTGATCAAACAAGTGTAAACGCCTCATAGTGGATGACTTCAATATATCCTCTACAAATTAGGGAAAGTTAGAAGTAGAGGCGTCGAAAACATTGTTTGATTTCAAATTGTTGGAAACCAAAATCGCCTTAGCTTCATTTCAGCGCGCTACAGATCCAATCAGATATGACCTACAAAACGTTTCGTGTCCCTTGTACATGGTCTTTTCACACGGTGATGATGTCAGACAAATAATGTTCCTCCTATCTATGTGAAGAAGGACGAAAAACTAGACCTAAATACAAAGTCACAAAATCGGATGCTCAGTACAGACATTGATCGAAATGAAGTACCAAAGGCTGTTAACATTTTGGACACAGAGAAAGCAACAGAACCGGATAAACTACATTCTGAAATCTCAAATCAAATTGCACAACATATTACTGCTCCGCTGACTACGATACTCAATACGTCACTTGACTTAGGTGAGCTACGTTCGGACTGGAAGGATGAAATTGTCACTCCGATTCTTAAGGCTAGATTAAGACCATTTGCATCAATCAAACTAAAGACCTGTCAGTCTTACCAGTGTCGTAGTTAAAGTGCTGGAAAGAATAATTGGAAGACCATAATGACATTCGTGAAAACAAAAAAATCTTGTTAAACAACGAACAACACAGTTTCAGGGAAGGATAATCTCGCACAGCAAACCTCCTCGTAGAAAGAGAGAAATGAAATGAGTTGTTGAATGATGGTCTACTTCGTAATTCGTAGTGACCTAATAATAGACCTAATTCTAAGATTGTAGATTTGTCCTGATGTAACTACCTAATCTACGAGATCATACTTGGAAGTCAAAACATTGTCTACACCGATTTATCGTTTCGTAACAACAACTAATATATGATGGAGGACACATTTAGGCTGGTGACAGAATAGTTTATTTAATATGACCAAAAGAGATAAAACAATCCACAAGGAGGACCATGCCTACAAAGTTCAGACATGCCATCCGATCAACTGCATTCAATTTCGAATGAATTTTACAGCATCCACCATTAATGTCATATTTTTAGCGTCACATGTTGAAAGTACATTTTCCCAGTTATCTCATGTTCAGCTTAGATGATTGTGTGGTTGGGGCCCAACGCCACTACAGAGTCTCTAGATGACGGAAAATCAGTGGATGTTGTCCGTGTACTCTTCAGCAAACCAAACAATAGACTTTACGTCAAGCTTAAAAATCTAGGTTCTTCCAAGCCTTTCCTTCAGTGGACAAATGACTTCGTAGTAGATCGTTGACAGAAAGTAAGTACAAATCGAAAATGCTCCTCCTGAAAACCTGTACTTAGTGGAGTATCTTAGGGCTCTGTCCTAAATCCTTCACCTTTATTACTGCTTGTGAGTGAACTTCCAAGTGTAGGTGATTACTCGACGCTACTTTCCGCTGACGATGAAATAAGAAAGGATGTAGATGTGTGTGCACTTTAAGCGGACTTAGATGTTCTGGGATTTAAGACAGACACCTACCAAGTTGGATACTTATATGTTCACCACAGTATACACAACCTTATTGAGACTCAAAGTTGAAAAATGTGTTCAGACTCCAAGACCCTTACTATAATGTGACTCGGATATCTTGAAAAAGTACAGAGGACAGCTACCAGTGGACTTCCAGAGCCCCCGGAATTACTATACAAAGAACGGCTATATAATTCAAACATGTTCACTCTGTCCTGTCGCAGATAAAGAGGTGATCTAAGTTTAGTATTCCGTCTACTAACTAAGATTATATTCGTTTACAAACATTGTATATTGATCAACTGGCTTGAAGTTTTGTCAGCCAAACTGAGCTAAGTTATCCCACCAACACTAGGCACTGGGATTTCAAACAGTTGAATGTGCTAGCTTTACATGATTATCTTCAGCAGGTGGATTGGGATGTTCACCCTCAACTTGAATTGGATTCACATTAAGATTTCTTACTGCACACGATCTTATGTGCTACTAAGCATTCATTTCCTCAAACCGTCCCAAAAAGCTACAAACAGCCCACAATCATCAAGAACTACACTCTTCGTTTGCTAAGCCACAAAAGGCACTGTTGGGCCGAATATAAACGAACTGATAACAACGTCGCGTTCAGGCAATACAAACATATAAGGGACATATGCACAAAGGCAATAAGAGAAGAGAGGCATCAGTACCAGACCAAGCTTATCGATACATTTGTTTTCAATCCGAAAAGCTTATTCCGTTATGCAGCTTCTCTTCGACAAGGCAAAACTGGAGTTTACCAACTGCTAGGTCCTAATGGTCCAGCCACTAACCTTTTGACTGAACAATACTCTCGGACATTTCAATTGACTCACATCAACTACATTGATGAAAACTTCACCTGCACCTGTACAGGACTTTCCGAAGTGCACCTGAGTGCTGACCTGGTGCTTCATAAACTGCAACACATAAGGAAAGACACTTCTCTCGGTCCGGATATGGTTCACTCTGCTATACTGAGGGAGGCAGCTTCAATCTTGGCACCACCACTTAGCATAATGTTTTCACACTCACTAAGCCGAGGCAAACTGCCGGAAATTCAGAAGCTGGCTCACATCGCACCAATTTTCAAAGGAGGTCGACGTAGTGCACCCTCAAGCTACCTACCAGTGGCCCTTCTCTCCATACCTTCTAAAATTATGGATTCCTTAATATACGGCGGTATACACGAGTACTTATTATACTTAAAGTTTTTCTCGACCCGACAGCATGGTTTCGGAAAGGGTCATTCTTGTATAACTAACCTGCTGACTGCGGTGGATAGACGGACAACCATCCTTGATCGGAAGGGGAAGGCTGACATCAATTACCTTGATTTCTCAAAAGCTTTTGACATGGTCAACCAAATATGTCTTATCAATAAGCTTAGACGATTGGATTGACTGGCTCGCTTCATATCTAGAAAGCCGACATTTTAAGGTCAGGGTTAACTTCACGCTCTCAGGCAATGGAATGTCCTAGTGGGGTCACCAGGGCTCAATACTAGGACCTCTTCTCTTCTCGATTTACATTAACGATCTTCCTCAACAAGTTTCATCTGACTTATTGCTTTTCGCTGATGACGTGAAACTTTGGAGAGAGATACGTAACCAAAAGGATATACTAGCACTTCAGGAGGATCTGACTCGACGTCAAATTTGGGCAGACGACAACAGACTTACCTTCAACACTTCAAAGTGCAAAGAAGTCCATCGGCGACATGTTGCAGACTATAGTTATAACTTAGGAAACTCCTCTTTAGAAGTTTCCCAAGTCGGAAAAGATTTAGGAGTGTTGGTACCCTAGGACTTGAAGTCGTACGCTAACTGTGACAAAAACGCATTTCAAGCAAACCATGAAGTGGTACACTGAAGCGTATTTTTGGCCAGTTTGAAGCTAGAACCTTCCACATAATCTTCAACAGTTTTATTCGTCCCCATTCAGAGTACGGAAACATAGTATTTCCACCCTTCCTCCAAAAGGATAAGGACACTCTGGAACGTATCCAACGTCGAGTCACGAAATCAGCTAGGGGACTCAAATTCAAACCTTATGAAGAGCGCCCCAATCATTTAACCTTTACCCGTTAGAGTACCGGCGTCTTAGAGGTGACCTTCTTATGACTTACAGTATTCTTAATACTTCTGGTCATCCCCTTCAACATCTACTTAAGCTTAGTCACGACACTAACCTAAGGGGTAACACCCAGAAACTGGAGACCCAACATAGCAGAACAGACTGTAGACACAACTTCTACTCCGTAAGAGTTGTCAAATGCTGGAATTCGCTGTCGACTGAGCTAGTTCAAGCGACTTTCTAGGAGTCCTTTAAGAGGAAACTTGACCTGTTCTTAAGGACTAAGGATAACATATTATTATGATTTACCAATTTCTTTTTTCCCTCTATTATCAATAATATACCCCGGTTCTTGCCTGGAGGTATTGGTGATCTACTGCTACTCAACACAGAAGCCCGTTAGGCGAAAGTTTCTTCTATTCCGTCCACAACCATTTGAACCATTTAACGTAGAGAGCGCGATCTAAAGGCTAAAACATGATGTCAAGTGATGTGGTGCTCCCCGAATTTGGATCCCTTTCTCTCAGCGATAACCCTACAGGTTGGGGCCCAACAGATATACCAGAAGAGTTTAGAAACATGCCTTTTCAACCATTTTCAAAGGATACCCGCCTAGGCAGAGTAAGCTTCCATTGAAAAATTCCTTGATTCTCTAGGTTGCAGATTGGTCAGGAAATATTTTTCAAGATATGAAAAACAAAGGTTTTGTCTAAACTTTACCCTATGAAATTTCTAGGTCGCTATGTCTCCCAGTCTGTCGGTTCACAGTACGCTTACTATCATGACGAGGACGACAGCAATTTCCAACTGGTTTCTTCCGTTCGTGAAACGAAAACTCCTGCTATTCGTCAAAGATATAGATTCCCTATGGTCAGTTAAACCCCACGCCACCTTTTTTTTTACCGTTTATGAACAGTTCTAGGGTTTTTGATTTCAATGCTGAGAATAAGTCACTCGGAAATATAACAAGACAAAAAACCCCTAAATATTGCCTTGAGTCATGTACAGAACTTTTGTACTCTTCAATATAATTTTCAAGATAAAATATTTGTGTGTAGGTTATTTTTTACTCGGTTACCACTTTCCGTTCCTTATGCATGTAGACATTCTTACGTATTTTCTATTAATCTGTGATGAGTTTGTGACTTGACATTGTCACCCATTTTTCGTTTTCGTTGTATTAAGTAAATCACGTTTAGGGACATCAGTGGGTTTTGTCAAGGATACATAAGTTCTCAAATAGATACATTAATAATCTGTAGTCTCGTTAATGGTTTATAGTGGAAGCAGTGTTTGGACCATTCCCAATATTTATTAACTGTAAGTCATTGCCTTAAGACTGATTTTCTTTAAAGCAATATAAACTTGTTTTGTTGGTAATATGCTTCCAAACTTTGAACTGTGTATTGAAGAAAAGACTGACGGCCTATATTTATCCTCTTTAGTGGTCTTCTGTTAGCGTACAGTGTTCCTTTGAATTAGCCAATTAAAGTTGTAGGCACTACTCCCAAGAATTGATGACTTACTGCGAAAATCTGTACGTCACCGGTACTCAGTTCGTTTCTGCATTTTGAACTCGCCTGTAGAGAAGAAAAGAGGATGTGACCATGTTTCTGTCACTGGTGCAGACATTCGTTTTTATATTGTTCTTGATTCCCAATGTTTTTTTTTTCATACGCAACTCACGCCGTGTTATTTAATCATATCCTCAATGCTTCACCTAATTTTGATTGCTACTCCATAATTTTGACATCCTTAACACTCGTCTCGTCAATTTTGTATCGTTTTGTTAATGTAGAAAAACAACTTAACGTTTGTCCCAGGTTCTCCGGGAGAATTAATCCCATATCTATAACTGACTTTTCCAAGTCCAATTAACGACCTTGGGGGATTGTTGATTTTCTCCTTATTTCGTGTTAGCATTCTGAATGTGATCGGTGTTCTATTATTTATTTATTTAAACACATATATATTGGTACAAAAGGGCACCAGGTACATATGCGCCACACAAAATAATGAAAGTAGGAAGAGAAGGGATGAAAAGATAAGGCGGACTGAAATGTGCAACCAGAAGACTCTTTCAGTTAGGAAAGTTAGAACCATTCTTTATGTAGAAAGTAAAAGAAGGTTGCAGCAGGATCGCCACTGGCTTCTATTCTGAGCCATATCTGATAACGTCTCTAGCCACTGTGTTGCACCATCTCTCGGACCCCAGCCAGGGAGTCGTGAAGGACCAACGGAAGCTAGCCCTTTGCAGCTTTCTTTCATGCCACGACACCATGTCATACACTGACCTCCTCTCTGCTTTTTCCAACCAGTCCCAGGGTCGGCAAATAATGCACGACGTGGAAGTCTCTGGGACGACATTCGTAAAACATGTCCAAGCCACCGAAGTCGGTGTTTCAAGATGGTGACACCAATTGAATTATCGTCTCTGCGCCCGAACACACGATGCCGAACCTCTGCATTACTAACATGGTGTTGCCACTGAATGTCAGCAATCCTTCGGAGACAACGATGATCGAACACAGAGAAACGTCTAACATCCTCAACTCGGAGAGGCCAGGTTTCACAAGCATAGAGCAAAACTGCTCTCACCGACGCGTTGTAGATCCGACCTTTTACAGCCAGACTAACATCACGAAGGCACCAAAGATGGCCCAGATTGGCATAAGCCGCTCTGGCTTTCATTATACGTGCATCAATCTCATCACTCACGCCACCGCCAGCACTTATGTAGCTACCTAGATACACGAACTTCTCAACTACTTCAATCTGCTCACCATCTAGGGTGAGTACAGGATGAGAATCCTGCCAGTCTTGTAGGAGTACTTTGCACTTGGAGGGTGCAAAGCACATGCCGTACCTGCGGACACTGATTGCCAACTGATTAAGTGCTGATCGCATGCCTTGGGCATTATCGCACAGTAAGACAATATCATCCGCATACTCAAGGTCGAAAAGTCGTTCTCCAGGCAACATATCCACACCGCCATTACTTACATCCATCAGAGCTGTTTCCAGGATGTCGTCGATGGCAAAGTTGAAGAGGAATGGTGAGATCGGGCAACCCTGCCTAACCCCACTGCTCGAATGGAACAAGGGAGAAAGGTGGTTGTATGCCCTCACTCTGCCTGAGGTGTTCGTATACAGGGCCTTTAAGATGTTAATGAACTTCTCAGGCACACCCTTCTTCAATAGACAATTCCAGAGAACAGTCCTGTCCAACGAATCGAAGGCAACCCTAATATGGAGGAACACTACGATTGTTGACCTGTGATAATTTTGACGGTGTTCTAACATTTGGCGGAGGGTGAAGATGTGATCAATGCATCCTCGACCAGAACGAAAACCGGCCTTCTCCTCGCGAGTCAATCGTTCTCGGGTTTTAAACAACCTACGAAGAATGATAGAAGCCAATAGTTTGGACGCAATCGGAAGTAGACTTATCCCCCGATAGTTATTACAGGAACAACGTGAACCCTTTTTAAAGATAGGGACGACTATCGACTCATTCTATGATAATGGAACACTTTCTTGTTCCCAAACCTTTGCAAACAATACAGTCAATTCCTTAGTCAGAAGGTCACCACTAACTTTAAAAAGAGCCGGAGGTAAGTCATTTGGGCCCGGTGATTTGTAACGTTTCAAGAGTTGGAGTTCCTTGCGGACTTCCGCCTCGTTTGGTGGATCAGTCGTCACCGGCCATGGGGGGCAGGACAAGCTGGTTGATGTTGCCGGAGCAACAGGCCAGTTGAACTGCCCTTCGAAGAATCCTGCCCATCGTCCAAGACGTCGAGAGATATTAGTGATTGGCATCCCATCATCCTCGTAGTTTGTTTCACTCACACCAGACTTCTTGCTGCCAGTGGCTCGGATGAGTTGGAAGAGCTTCCGGCAGTTACCAGATGCAGCTGCTGCTTCCATCTCATTAGCACGCTCCGACTACCAGGCTTCCCGGTCCTTACGCAAGCTTTGCCCGATTTCCTTACGTAACAGCCTTCGTTCTCTAGTGTGTTCTCTAGTCTGTTATATATATATATATATATATATATATATACTGAAACATTTTGAATTCGGCCTTTTATTTGTTAATTACAGCGTGGTCGCCGTGGTTTGGGTGGTCCAGGTGCAGGGTACTCTTGGGCAGGAGGCCGGTCAGGATATCAGATGATCGGAAACCAAGGTGGTGTATTAAACCGTAAGCTACGCAGCGCATCAGACAGAGAACGTATGATGTTACAACAAAATAGACGGTGGCAACACTGGGGACCCCAAGGTGTCGGTCAGCGACGAGGGGGAACCCAAGGTTGGAGATCCAATGCAGGTGCTTGGGGCTCTAATAGTGATCGCAGACAGGCCCATAGGGCAGTGCGTGATGCGTCTATTCAAATTAAGGATAATTGGACAATGTTAGAAGAGCTAGATTTCGCTAGACTTGCAAAGTTGGCCCTACCTAATGTAAAGGAGCCTATTGACAAGTGAGTATTTCTGCAATTGTTGCTTTTGATATGATTCTCAACCTTTCTAACAACTTAATTTATTACTTGTAGAGTTAATTGTGGAGAAATGGAGTATTATGACAAATCATATGACCGTGTTAGCACGCGAAACGAACGTCCTCTTGTAAGAGTAAATCGGGTTCTCCACACAGTTACGACTTCCAGAGACCCAGTAATTCACCGTCTAGCTAGCGACTCCGTTGGCAAAGTATATTGCACAGATACGATTGCTGCCATGATTATGTGTTGCACTCGTTCGGTGTATCCTTGGGATCTCATTGTACAACGTATACAAGACCGTTTGTTCTTTGATAAGCGCGAAGATGCTGAATCTGGTAAGTTTGTGTATTTTTGCAGAAAGTATTCGATCAATTGTTGTAATTTATTATATATATAAACTGCATTGCATAGGGGTTCACCTCTATGGTACTGCGGTTTAATTGGTTCTTATTTGTAACTAATCTTTTACTCGTGTAAAGTTGACTTGGTAGCTCTGTTTATTTTATTTATTTATTTAAACACATATATATTGGTACAAAAGGGCACCAGGTACATATGCGCCACACAAAATAATGAAAGTAGGAAGAGAAGGGATGAAAAGATAAGGCGGACTGAAATGTGCAACCAGAAGACTCTTTCAGTTAGGAAAGTTAGAACCATTCTTTATGTAGAAAGTAAAAGAAGGTTGCAGCAGGATCGCCACTGGCTTCTATTCTGAGCCATATCTGATAACGTCTCTAGCCACTGTGTTGCACCATCTCTCGGACCCCAGCCAGGGAGTCGTGAAGGACCAACGGAAGCTAGCCCTTTGCAGCTTTCTTTCATGCCACGACACCATGTCATACACTGACCTCCTCTCTGCTTTTTCCAACCAGTCCCAGGGTCGGCAAATAATGCACGACGTGGAAGTCTCTGGGACGACATTCGTAAAACATGTCCAAGCCACCGAAGTCGGTGTTTCAAGATGGTGACACCAATTGAATTATCGTCTCTGCGCCCGAACACACGATGCCGAACCTCTGCATTACTAACATGGTGTTGCCACTGAATGTCAGCAATCCTTCGGAGACAACGATGATCGAACACAGAGAAACGTCTAACATCCTCAACTCGGAGAGGCCAGGTTTCACAAGCATAGAGCAAAACTGCTCTCACCGACGCGTTGTAGATCCGACCTTTTACAGCCAGACTAACATCACGAAGGCACCAAAGATGGCCCAGATTGGCATAAGCCGCTCTGGCTTTCATTATACGTGCATCAATCTCATCACTCACGCCACCGCCAGCACTTATGTAGCTACCTAGATACACGAACTTCTCAACTACTTCAATCTGCTCACCATCTAGGGTGAGTACAGGATGAGAATCCTGCCAGTCTTGTAGGAGTACTTTGCACTTGGAGGGTGCAAAGCACATGCCGTACCTGCGGACACTGATTGCCAACTGATTAAGTGCTGATCGCATGCCTTGGGCATTATCGCACAGTAAGACAATATCATCCGCATACTCAAGGTCGAAAAGTCGTTCTCCAGGCAACATATCCACACCGCCATTACTTACATCCATCAGAGCTGTTTCCAGGATGTCGTCGATGGCAAAGTTGAAGAGGAATGGTGAGATCGGGCAACCCTGCCTAACCCCACTGCTCGAATGGAACAAGGGAGAAAGGTGGTTGTATGCCCTCACTCTGCCTGAGGTGTTCGTATACAGGGCCTTTAAGATGTTAATGAACTTCTCAGGCACACCCTTCTTCAATAGACAATTCCAGAGAACAGTCCTGTCCAACGAATCGAAGGCAACCCTAATATGGAGGAACACTACGATTGTTGACCTGTGATAATTTTGACGGTGTTCTAACATTTGGCGGAGGGTGAAGATGTGATCAATGCATCCTCGACCAGAACGAAAACCGGCCTTCTCCTCGCGAGTCAATCGTTCTCGGGTTTTAAACAACCTACGAAGAATGATAGAAGCCAATAGTTTGGACGCAATCGGAAGTAGACTTATCCCCCGATAGTTATTACAGGAACAACGTGAACCCTTTTTAAAGATAGGGACGACTATCGACTCATTCTATGATAATGGAACACTTTCTTGTTCCCAAACCTTTGCAAACAATACAGTCAATTCCTTAGTCAGAAGGTCACCACTAACTTTAAAAAGAGCCGGAGGTAAGTCATTTGGGCCCGGTGATTTGTAACGTTTCAAGAGTTGGAGTTCCTTGCGGACTTCCGCCTCGTTTGGTGGATCAGTCGTCACCGGCCATGGGGGGCAGGACAAGCTGGTTGATGTTGCCGGAGCAACAGGCCAGTTGAACTGCCCTTCGAAGAATCCTGCCCATCGTCCAAGACGTCGAGAGATATTAGTGATTGGCATCCCATCATCCTCGTAGTTTGTTTCACTCACACCAGACTTCTTGCTGCCAGTGGCTCGGATGAGTTGGAAGAGCTTCCGGCAGTTACCAGATGCAGCTGCTGCTTCCATCTCATTAGCACGCTCCGACTACCAGGCTTCCCGGTCCTTACGCAAGCTTTGCCCGATTTCCTTACGTAACAGCCTTCGTTTGTGGTCAAACTCACGGACTCCCGGAGTAGACCGACGGGCTTCGATCAGTTGTAAGGAGCCAGAAGAGACCCAGTGCTTGTAAGCGGGACGTTTCGCGAAGCCGCAAGCGGCTTTACTCGCCATTTTCATGGCGTCGTGAAGATGCAACCAATGCTGATCTATACTTTTCGGTGGGGTGGTAGCTAGCCTAGAGGCTAGCTCCGCTCGATACTTACTTACAACAGAAGTTGCAGCCAGTTTACTAATATCAATCCGTTAGTGGTGGTCAATCCTTCGGCCACTGAAAAGTAAGGTGAGATTGGCGCAGACCAGGGCATGATCAGACTCCAGATAGGTACTCCAAAAGGAGCGGCAGTCTTGTACACAACCACGCCAGCGGTAGCTGATCGCGATGTGATGAATCTGAGTCCGGGCTTGGGATGCAGAGAGAGGACGCCAGGTGGCACACCGGCGATGACTGTGCCGGAAGTTAGTGCTGGCCAGAAACAGGTTGTGGTCTGTGCACAGTTGCAGCAAACGGTCCCCGTTATCTGTCCTGCGACCAACAAGTCCCCATCGGCCACCTAGACGACTCTCTTCTGTGCCTAGACGCCCGACCTGTGCATTCAAGTCTCCTGCTAGTACTACAATATCTGTCGAACGCCCTTTCTGGAGAAGAACTGTTAACTGATGGTAAAACTCATCCTTGATTGCATCCGGGCTGCAATCTGTCGGGGCATAGGCAGAGATGACGAAAAGACACCGTTTCTCACGCCGATTTCTTCTCACTTTGATGGAACTTTCTAATCTAACAGCACATAACCGACTGTTAATGGGGATCCAATCGATTAGTGCTGCCTCAGCCCTGGCGCTTAGTGCAACACCAACGCCAGCAAGACCGGACGAAGATGCCACAGGGTCCCCGGATAAGCGCACGTGGAACAAGCTCTTCGAGGCGACAGATGGAGAGCGAATTTGTAGTACTTCACCAGAGTATTGAATACGAGTATCGGATAGACAACAAACATCAACATTAAGACTTTCTAACGACAAAGCCAGCCCCATCTTTTGTCTGATCTGCATTAGTGTGCGAACGTTGAAGGAAGCCAGCTTGAACGGCGTACGTGGTTTCAGAAAGACTGCTTCAGTATTCATTATCGGTGGAAGCATTCACTTTCAACCAGACAGTGACTGGAGATCGTTTAGATAGGACAGATTTTCCACCATGGGCGAGCTGCTGCATAAGTTGAAAAGTAAGGTTACACAAATTGGGGATAAAAGGGGGTGAGTTAGCGATATGGTAAATAATAATAATAATTATAATAATAATAATGTAAATTGTCGTGCTTTTAGTATGAGCAGGGATATTATCGTCAATAGAGTTCATAATTTCATTCATTTGTGTGTGGGCTGTGATACTGCCCGGGTGCCCAAACCGAAGCAGGTGGTTTTCTTAGGGGACCACACCCCGAGCCTTTGACCTAAAGGTCTGATCCACAAGGCAGTGGAGCATCGTGAGGAGGTGCAGTCCCATGGTAGCCGTTGACCAATGACAGGTTCTTCCGCCATTCGTTCCATCAGGATACTGGAGCCCATGTGCACCATTGGTTTGGAATCAGGGTTTTCCAACTCCCCTAGGTGAACCCTCCGTGTCCACCAATCCGGTTATAGCGCCGGACATTCGCTTTTCGTCCTCTCACTTTCGTAAACAACACCCCCGCCACGGGAAGGCAGTGAGTAGGACTTCCCTGGCAGAGGCTATATATTCGCTGGCCATGTGAGAGCATTTCGAGAGGGAGAGTAGACTCTCCCCACTCTCGGCCGTACCAGGGCATTCGGGGGCTGGTAGCTCTGAATGTTCATTCACTGCCTACCGGACGTGGTATGCAAATTAACACTGAAAATATGTATAGGAATGTTTAACTTCGAGTCATTTTGATGACCAGTAATTTTTCCCATATTTTTCTAAGTCACCTACTGTTAGTGATACCATTTATAAACCTGAATGCATATACCTTACAAAATAAATATTCATTCCTCTCAATCTTACTTTTAGATTTCGTTAGTGTATGTGAAACTGCAACAGAACCACCTAATGAAGAACCTGGTCATATTAATTCACCTCAGCGTTTGGCATTAGAAGCTACTTTTATAAATACTAATTTATCTCAACAAATGCTACTGATGGTAAGTGATACTTGATTTCCATTCACGTTCTAGATTGGTTGTTTTGTAGTTCTACGGAACGAGTAAGTACAAGTAGTCGGCAACTTTCAAAAAATACAGGTATCTGTCTCATGTGTCCAACCAAGACATATGACATCACTTATAGCATAATATCCCGATCCCTTTATTCAAATTTCTGAAGACACTTTCTCACAATGCGATTTATTCAGGTGATCAGATTTTATTCTTGGTTAACTGAATAGTCGTGATCATACCCCATATTAGTGACCCGAATTTCCTAAGGATGCAAGTTTCCTTTTTTGTAGTTATTAGGCTTTACGGTTTACCAGAATACCCATTATTTCATACTTAGCATCGCCCATCAATGTCATTAGAGTTATCACTCTTTAATAACAAGAAATACAAGCTAATAAAGATCAACTAGATTCGACCATACGACGCATATGATAAAACTACTTGGTTTCCTTCATTGTTCAGAAAAAGCGTTATCGCACATACTTATGTATTCACGAAAAAAATTGAAACACTTTATTTTCACTGGTTATCTACCACTCAAACAAAAGTTGTCAGTACCCAACGAATTTAAGGTGTCGTCTTACCAAAGTAATATATAAGATAATCTGTTGTCTTCAGCTTCATGAAAAGTAAGCGGCCTTTATTTCACTGTTTTTTCACCATAACTTCATACACAGAGGTTGTCATAAGTCAAAAACTGAAGGCGTGTCTTATACTAAAAATGAATATCTCTTCAAACTGTTAATGAGACTTGTTCATGGATCATTTAGGTTACTGAAACTCATTAGGTTCTACGATATGTCAATATAAACAGCTGAAATGATGGAAGTATCACAAAATAATTTGGCTAATCATTTATTCCCCTTCCCGTCCGTAGCTGCTACCTTTACGTGGTGGTCGGGCTTGCCTATCGTGATGACCCAACCGAGCTATATTGGTTGGAACGTATGTTCCTGTAGGTTCTACCATGCCAGGCAGGTCGATTGGAGAACGGTAAGACTAAAAGCCGCAACTCAAGGTTTGAGGGCGAAGTTGTGCTGCTGACTGTAGAGAGGTGTGACAGCAGTAAGGTGTTTCCCTCGGACAACCAGCATCTGCAGCGATGCTGCCTTCTCACAAGGAATGAAGGGGTTAGAAAAGGTCGACCCTAAAAATGTCATGCCTCACCTTACCTCACGGATTTCCGTCTCCGGCGGTAAGACCCTTTGAAGAACGAAGCTAACACGTCAAAAATCCCCCACAAAAAGGCCTCAGGCAGTTGTCCCTTGGGCATTGCGGTTACGCTCCCGGGTCGTTAAGACCAACACTAATCCAACTTCCTTTTCAGATACCTTTAGAAGAACCCTTCCAAGGTGTGGGCAACCGGGAAGTGATATTAGCCCTCATACCCGTCACAACACACGAGACCAAGTTGGTCACTTTCAAATCCTTCCTACACCTCCTAATAACTCCCTTATCTCCACGTCCTTTTATCACATCGCACCGCTAGGGCAAACGATTCGAGTACACGGAACGTTATTCCTGGTCTCCTGAAACCACGCTCTAGACTACGTGTAAGAAATTTTAACGCCCGAACATTGTGCCGAATAGAACAACAGGCTTCCTTAGCTAGGACTTTACAATCTTGCACCATCGATGTGTGCTGCATCTACGAAACGCGCATACAGGATCCGAGTAGTGTCATTCATTTGACCGCACCTAATCAAAATAAAGATTCATCTCGATACACGCTTCGCGTATCTGGAAGCCCTGATTCTGCTTCCCGTGGTCTCGCTGGAGTAGGTATAGCATTAAGTCGTAGGGCAGAACTAGCTCTTTTAGACTGGATCCCAGTAGACAGTCGTCTGTGCTCTGTCCGACTAAACGGAACAGTAAGGACCCGGAAAGAGGGACACTCATCGTCTCTGCCTACTCTCCTACTGACTGCAGCCCAGATGGTGTAAAAGATGAGTTTTACAGAAAGCTTTCCGATCTTCTCCGAAAAGCTAGGCGTTCTGATGTAGTAATAGTGGCTGGTGACTTAAATGCTCAAGTAAACTATGCGGAAGGGAAAGACACGTGGGTGGATCTTATGGTGTCGTGGCTGAAAGAACAGATAATGGCAACCGTCTCTTGCAGCTATGCTTAGATAACCTCCTGTTTCTTGTAAATACTAACTTTAAGCACGAGGGAAAACATCTTTTGACATGGCGACTCCCGAATTCGTCCCAACGTTGGACCCAACTAGATCACATCGCTATCAGCCACCGATGGAGGGCTCGATAGAAGACTGTCGCTCATTCTGGAGCACATGTTTAGATTCAGATCATGTTCTAGTGCGAGCACGTATCTGTCTGCGTTTTACTGGACGTAGGAAAGACACTACAGGGAAACCTCTTAAAGTCCTACTTAATGATAGGCAAGCTAAGAATATATTTCAGAAACAACTAGAAAAACAGGCAGCCATGTAATTTGTGCCCACCCCGAGACAGTGTGGAATGACATCCGAAAAGCTGTGGAAACAGCAGTGATATCTGCCTGTACGGTAAACCATAAGTTTAGGGAGAAACACTGGATCTCAACAGCATCTACCGCACTGATAGTTGCTCAAAAACTCATCCCACCTGGCTCTGAACATAACGAAGAGCGGGGTCAACTTAAGTGCAGGCTAATAAGAAGCCTACGCAATGATCGTGAACAGTGGTGGGTAGCGAAAGCAAGAGAGATGGAAAAGGCAGCGGCAATAGGTAACAGTAGGCAGCTATTCAGACTCGTTAAAGAAACCGGTATTAGGAACCCGAATATCAGTGAAACCATCTCAGATAAAGATGGGCATATTATTCACTCTCAATCCAGGAGATTGGATCGATGGGCAGAACACTTTAGGGATCAGTTCAACTGACCTTCAGCCAGACTTCGGTTTCCCACGATCCCCAGTCGACCTGACCGGCAAGTTAATGTAAATCCTCCAACTCTTTACGAGGTTGAAAAAGCTGTAGGAAATTTGAAGCGAGGAAGAGCAGCAGGCCCTGACATGTTTACTCCTTAGATTTTTCAGGATGGTGGTCCAGTACTAACAGCGATATTGACTGAGGTCTTAGGTAGAATCAGGGAACTGGACGTAATTCCATCTGACTGGTCCCAATCACTGATTGTGTCAGTCTATAAGAAATGACAAAAGACCTCCTGTGACAATCACAGAGGGATCAGTTTGACTAATATAGTGTCTAAAATATTAGCTTCAATAATACTTCGACGCTTAATCAAAGCTCGTGAAGAGCAGACTAGAGAAAACCAGGCTTGTTTTCGACCTGGACGTGGTTGTATAGACCAGATATTCACTCTACGTCAGGTCCTAGAACATAGACACATTCAGAAGTCCCACAATAGTAGTATTTCTTGACCTGGCGGCATTTGACTCCGTTGATCGTGAGGTTCTATGGCAATGTTTGTCAGTGAAAGGAGTACCAAAGAAGTACATTAACCTCATAAAGGCTCTCTACTCGAACACTACTGGTCGAGTTAAAGCCTATGGTGAACTGTCATCAGAATTGGTTACCTCAAGTGGTGTTCTTATGGGCTGTCCACTCTCCCCATTCTTGTTTAACTTTGTTCGGGATGCGATTCTCCCCCTCGAAATGCAAAATGTTACTTCAGGATTGGATTGCATCGGCACCTGAACTAATGATAGGGAGTGAAGTAGTTGAGCGTGTTGATCGCTTCACTTATCATGGGAGTCTCATCAGCCCTTGTGATCTGGTGTGTGACGAAATCTCAGCACGGATACAGAAGGCTCGACTAGCTTTCATCAACTTTCGTAATTTATGGCGTAGGCGAGATATTCGTCTAGCAACAAAAGGACGGGTTTACTGTGCAGAAGTTCATTCCGTCCTACTTTATGGCAGTGAAACATGGCCGATAAGAGTAGAGGATATTCGTAGGCTACTAGTATTTGTTCACAGGTGTCTTCAAAGCATTGCTCGTATATCCTGGGATCACCGAGTAAGTAATGCAGTTGTTAGGAAACGGGTACTAGGTAAGGATGGCAAATCGATTGATGAAGTAGTGAAACTTCATCAGTTGAGATAGCTGGGACACGTGTTACGTATGCCCAACCATGTTTTATGGTGTAGGAGTAGGTTGGAAGAAAGCTAGGGTCGGCCAGACCAAAACATAGCACAAATCCATGAAGTCATTGACAGTTAGACTGAGCCATGTTGGTAGGTTTAGACTACGTGGTTGGGATCCGCGAGATGATAGCAACCGATGGTTAGAGACCTTAAATGACATGGCTCAAAATCGTTTGCAATGGCGAAAGGGCATCCAGTCTTTGTGTTCTGCCAGATTGTAATCTTCTAAATTTTTCATGTCTCTATCTTGTTCTCTTTCCAAATTTATTTCACTGGATTATACTCCTTGAGTAACATCTTCAAACCCTTATCTTTCCTATTACTGTTTATACTCTTACTACTTCTACCACTATGGGATTTGAATCGACAACTGCATCTCTGTGCTAATGTGATATGGCAACTCGAACTGACGTACGTACGTACGAAGTTCTACGTTGTGACTGATTAGCTGTCTTATTTCCCTTTAATGACTCAGTATCTAGCCATGTTTTTGACTTTCCTTTTCAATTTTTGTTGGTGAGATCCAGAAAATTCTTCGAGAAAAAGACAAAATGGGCTCTAAAAACAATCAGCATTCAACAAAAGTTTTACCAGAAGCCTGTAGAAAGTGAAAAATCACATGTCGCGTTTCTGATTGGATAATTACTTATACTACTATTATGTTTAGTAGCGTTCCGAAATTTTCCAGAAGCCCAATACCATCCAAAATACTAAAAATACACTAGATTTTCCGTACGTTAAAGAACCTTGTAGTGAAGCGTTTGTTCCGCATTTCGTACATTTTCTCTCGTGTCCAGGTTGCTGTACAGATTTAGCCTGGGGGTTACCAGAAGAGCTTAGTAACCAAATCTAGCGTTAAATTAGATTTATGACTATTGGTTACAATTGTTAACATTGGTTAATTTAACCCATTTTTTGGTACTACCTCTTTGAGTTAATAAGTTATTAGAAGTTTAAATAAATTCTGTACTGAATGTGAAAATCAGTGTGATCAACAATTTTCGGAGTCTAAATATCCACTTATGCCTAATTTGCTACCAGTTCAGACATAGCTAGTAATAAAAGCGATATCGAAAACCAGATTTATGTTTGACAAATATTTTTTTTAACAAACTGTCATCAGATCTTACAATTATGGCTCATTTTTTTAGACTATTTTGTCATAAATGTGAAACCTGGTAAGAGTGTACTAGTATGAATATTCTATTCACTTCTGTGTTTTAATCAAAATAAAGCTATGGTTCAATGTTTGAGACACCCAAATTCCAACCATCCAGTCACTGGTTTAAAATACTTTTTTCATCTGCTGAGGTTTGATTAGTTTGTGCTACCTTAGTTCTTCATATTACTGAGAATATAGCTCGAAATTTATTGCAAAAACTGGATATATTGCTTACTTACTTTGTTACTAATCGGTTGGTCAGATACACCTTACTCATACCGTTACACCACTATATTATTCTGGTTGATTTTAAACATTTTTGACGGAAAACAAATATAAGAATGAATTAATCTAAATAAATATGGCCGTTTACCATTTATATTAAAAATTTAAATTCACAAAATCGTATCCTATTGTTAGGGTGGTAAAACATATTCGTTCCCTGAAGAAAATCCTTTCAAAGATGATGAAGAGGAAGATGAGGATAGTCCAAATCCATCTCAAAATAAAAGTCACGAAGGTGGTAAAGAAGAATTAGGTTCTGTAGGATATCGATATCGCATATTTGATTTGGGAAATGATGTTCAAATGGTTATTCGTTGCGAGGTGAATGGTGTAATTCAACCAACTAGTGATGATCAGCCAGCCACTCCACAATTCGTATGTATACGCGCGCTAAATGAATTTGATTCACGCGTAAGTTCCAATGTACTCTTTTTACAAACATTTATTTTTCATTTTGTATACAGTAACGAAAAGCACTGATCATTACATAAAGAATTGGGCATAGAAAATGACTATCATAAAGCACCATTAAGATCGCTCAAATACTGACTCTTCAAGTAATCACCTGTTCTGAAAATCGTTAAACCTCATATTTATGGTGTCTTCCGATCGTTAATTTACCATATCGGTCCATGCTGGGAACGATAATGTTCTGATCCTGATGTATCGCTGAAAATGGTTCAGAAATCACTTGAACACACCTTTCTTTGATATTACTGACCTCTCGTATGGTCTTAATTGTTCTCTCACTCTATTTTTCATACAAATATCATGGCAAATTCGCATAAAACTAAAAATCCCCATATTGTAAATTAAAACATGCTAAGGCGGATACTTATGTTTCCAATTAGACCATTAGGCTTCAATATACAATAATATTCGCATGCATACAACAAATTATTAAAACCAATCAAGACAGTTTGAGTCAGTAATAACAATGGAATAGATCACATGAATAAACATAATGAGTAAAAAAAGTACAAACTGATAGTATGATGGCAGGTGTACTAAATGTAATAAAAATGATGAAAGCTCGAATCAGTGTTTCTTAATTTAAAGTAGATCAACAGCTTAAAGAAGTAGACACTAAAACAACATTCACTAAAATTACATAATAATTAGACAGTGCGGTGTGTATTCAAAGAAAGGGTATGGAAACTAATTATAAAATAGTTTGTTAAGGTTAAGTCTATCAAGAAACAGATAAGCGAGTTACAAATTTGTTATAAACACAATGACTTGGGTTGTTAGTTCGAATCCCTGTAGTTTCTACTGTATTCGAAACAAGATTGAACCTCATGAGAAGAGCTGGTAGGTATATGGTAAATTACTTCGAATGATTTTTTCCTATCTACCACATGGACGCTATCGATCAAGTGTGACAGAACGCAGCTTTGTATTGTTTTTATCATACCCTTTCCTAACCACGAAAAAAGCTGTTCACCAACTCGGTTGTCTTATTGTACCCCAGCATGGCTTTCTCCACGTGAGCAGTTAAATTTGTTGATATACATGTATGTAGTAAAACCAAGTAACTTATCCCTTAGTTGAGAAATCACTATTGGTCGGTTAGAATCCTGAATCCTCTACACAAATTAGTCGTTAACAGAGGCGTTAAGGACGTTTTCGATATCGTTTCCAAGGTCAAAAATAGAAATTTAAATGGTAAACGGATGATATCTCAAGATGTTTCTCCCCTTTTTAATTCTAAAATGTACAGTAAACGTTCATTTTGTCCTTAATAACAAATGGAAAAATTAATGACATTGTGATGGTTTCGCCTTTTCCAATATATTGATCAACGATAATAGAACTGTCATTAATGCAACGATAATAAAATTCAAGCTTATTATTAACCTATGTGAGAGGTCAAATTTCTAGTTTTTCAAGAAAAAATCATCAAGGATAAGAATCACAGTGCAGTTGTTATCACATTATCAACTTGCGCCTTTTTTTACTCATTTTGCTTATTCATGTAATCTATTCCACTGTTATCACTGATTCAAACTATGTTGATTGGTTTTAATAATTTGTTGTATGTATGCGAATATTATTGTATATTGAAGCCTAATGGTCTAATTTGAAACAAAATTGTTCGTTTATATATGTTGCTCTAAATTTTCTTAGTGTCATTAAATTCACACACTGAACCATATCCATCTTTTTATCTTACGATAGAATTTGAGGAATCATTTGCTTTATATCTTCTCTTAGTTTTTCGATGTCAGTAAAGCAAACGGAGGAATGCTACTATCAGTATACCTGTCTTCCCACTATCAACTTGTACTTTTAATTATTTTGTGCGGTGATGTATTCTATTTCATTGTGATTATTGACTCAAATAGCCTTGATTGGTCTAACATTTTCGTATAAATATTCATGTATATTAGAGTAAAGCCTGATGACGATCTAATTGAACACAATTGTTCGCTTACATGTGTTGTTCTAATTTTCACAATGGGAATCTTTAATATAATGGTGAAATCATCCAAACAAGAAAACCCTGCACTTAGACAATAAAATAATTTCTCGTATAATAATAATAATAATAATAATAATAATAATAATAATAATATGTTATGTATGTTTTATAAAAATTTTTTCCACTCTATGGACATTTTTCGTCTCAGTATTGCGGTGGTGTCGATTGGCGTACTAAACTTGATACTCAACGGGGGGCTGTTTTGGCCGCTGAGATAAAGAATAATGCCTTTAAATTAGCTGGATGGACTGTCTGTAGTATACTGTCAGGTGCAGATCAACTAAAATTAGGGTACGTTACCGTTTATTGTGATGAATTGTTGCATCATATGGGGGATTCTAATTATTATGAATAAGTATCTTCTATTCTTCTACCACTGATTCGCAGATTTGAATTCTATGTTACCTCATACAGGTTGTTAAAGAGGTAATATTACGAGTCCACACAATGATTTTAACATTGTTACTCGATGTCATTCTCGTATGCAGGGTCCTAAACAAGCTTATAGTATACTAGTCTTTCAGTTACGGTTATTATATATATATATTATATATTATACCGATCGTTGCTGCTACCTTGACGTGGTGGTCGGGCTTGCCTATCGTGATGAAGCAATCGAGCTATGCTGGCTGGAACAGTCGTTCGTCGAGGTCCTACCATGCCAGACAGGTCGGTTGAAGAGCGGTGAGACTAAAAGCAGCAAACCCAAGGTCCGAAGGCGAAGTCGTACTGCTGACTGTACAGAGGTGTGACGGCAGTAAGGTGTTTCCTTCAGACAACCAGCATGACAGCGATGCTGCCTTCCCAGAAGGAGGGGTGGGGTTAGAAAAGGTCGACCCCAAAAATGCACACCTCGCCTTATCCCACGGATTTCCGTCTCCGGCGGTAAGGTTTTTTTTTGAAGAACGGAGCTAACACAAAAACTACCCACAAAAAGGTCGTGTGTGACCGACCTCAAGCAGTTGTCCCTTGGGCACTGCGGTCACGCTCTCAGGTCATTAAGACCACTCCTAACCCAATTTCCTTTTCAGGTACCTCTAGAAGAATCCTTCCACGGTGTGGGCAACCGGGAAGTGATAACTGCCCTCATACCTCTAACAGCACTCAAGACCACTGTATTCATAATCAATCTTCTTCTTCAATTCCTACTATTCCCTCTACCTTGACTTTCAACACTAAACTTCCTCTCTCGGTTTCCTCCTCAAGTGTCACCATGGCCAACGATTCTAGTGCGCGAAACGTTGTCCCAGGTCTACTTAAACCTCGCTCCAAACTACACATTGGAGCCTTCAACGTACGTACCCTATGCCAAATCGGTCAACAGGCCTCCTTAGCTAAAACCCTAGAATCTCGTACCATTGATGTATGCTGTGTCTCCGAAACACGCATACAGGATCCCAGTGTGGTCATTCACTTGACCTCACCTCGCCAAAATGGACAGCCGACGAAATACACCCTCCGTGTATCTGGCGACCCGTTGGCTAGTTCTCGCGGACTTGCAGGTGTAGGCATAGCACTAAGTACAAGGGCAGAGCAGGCACTACTAGAATGGATCCCCGTTAACAGTCGCCTGTGTGCTGTCCGGCTAAATGGCTCCATAAGAACTCGGAAGGATAGGGACACACGTCGTTGCCTTTTCGTCGTTTCTGCCTACGCTCCCACTGACTGCAGCCATGATGAAGTAAAAGATGACTTTTACAGAAAACTCTCTGAGCTTCTTCAGAAAGCTAAGCGCTCAGACATAGTAGTCGTAGCGAGTGACTTTAATGCCCAGGTAGGCAGCTTAAATCAAACAGAAAGACATTTAGGTGGGTGTTTTAGTATTCCGGCTCAACGAACCGATAATGGTGATCGTCTGTTGCAACTATGCTCAGACAATCGTTTATTTTTAGCAAGCACTAATTTTAAACATAAGGAGAGACATCGTCTAACATGGCGACCACCTGCACCAAACCGACGATGGACTCAAATAGACCATATTGTCATCAGTCATCTTTGGAGAGGCTCAATAGTAGATTGTCGCTCGTATTGGAATACTTGTTTAGACTCTGATCACGCTTTAATACGAGCACGCATTTGTCTGCGCCTCAATGGACGCAGGAAAAGTACACTAAGAAGACCCATTAGGATTGAACTGGAGGACGAGAAAGCCAAATGCGAATTCCAGAAACAACTGAGTTCACATCTAGGTAGTTCTGTAAACGAGACTGACCCAGATGCTGCTTGGAAAGACACACGAACAGCTGTGGAAACGGCAGTAACATCTATTAGTCATTTAAACCATAGGGCTCCAAAAAACCAGTGGATTTCCTCTAAGTCTATTTCACTGATGGATTCGCGTAAACTCATCCCATCAGGCTCTGAACATGACGAAGAGCGTAAACAAATTAGATCTAGGTTAACTAAAAGCCTAAGGAACGATCGTGAGCAGTGGTGGGCAACGAAAGCAAAAGAGATGGAAAAGGCAGCGGCTGTAGGCAACACCAGGCAACTATTCAGACTAATAAAAGAAACCGGAATTAAGAAGTCAAGTGTAAGTGAGACAATCTCGGAAAAAGACGGAACCCTTATCTGCTCTCAACCTAAACGTTTAGAACGATGGGCGGAACACTTTAAGGAGCAGTTTAGCTGGCCTTCAGCTACTGCACAACTACCCACTATTCCCAGAAAACGGGAATGGAACATTGAAGTAGGCCCCCCGACCCTACTTGAAGTTCAAAAGGCTATAGGTAATCTGAAACGGGGAAGAGCAGCTGGTCCTGATGGATTGGTTCCAGAGGTTTTTAAATACGGTGGTCCAATTTTAGCGATTAGGTTGACTAATATTCTGGCTAAAATCTGGGAGACGGACGTAATCCCATCTGACTGATCACAATCTCTGATTGTCCCAATATATAAGAAGGAGCCAAAATCATCCTGTGATAACCATAGAGGGATTAGTCTGACTAACATAGCATCTAAAATACTAACCTCAATAATTATCGGGCGCCTAATTAAGATTCGTGAACTGCAAACACGAGAAAACCAGGCTGGCTTCAGACCTGGTCGTGGCTGTATCGACCACATATTCACCATTCGTCAAGTTTTAGAGCACAGACACGCTTATCGGCGTCCGACAATGATAGTTTTTCTTGACTTGAAAGCAGCATTTGACTCTGTAGACCGAGAGGTTCTGTGGCAGTGTCTGTCATTGAAAGGTGTACCTGAGAAGTACATAAACCTTTTGAAGGCTCTTTACTCGAACACTATTAGTCGAGTGAGAGCTTATGGCGAACTGTCATATGATTTTACAACCTCAAGTGGTGTCCGTCAAGGCTGTCCACTATCCCCATTTTTGTTTAACTTCATTATAGACCTGTTGCTGGAAATAACACTCTCATCGACTGAATTTTCAGGAATTGATCTCCTACCAGGGGGACCACTAAGCGACTTAGAATACGCAGATGACATAGTCCTGTTTGGTGAAGACGCTGGCAAAATACAGAGTCTTCTGTTGGAACTCAGTAATAATGCCAGGATGGTTGGGATGCGTTTCTCCCCATCCTGTGCGACAATGCCCAAGGCATGCAATCCATATTTAATCAGTTGGCAATTAGTGTCCATAGGTATATAGTATATGCTTTGCACCTTCGAAGTGCAAAGTACTTATACAAGACTGGCAAGAGTCTAATCCAGTAATCACCTTGGGTGGCCAGTGGCTATCCTGCTGTAACCTTTTTTCACTTTCTTCATAAAGAGCGGTCATAACTTCCTTTACTGAAATAGTTCTTCTGGTTGTACATTTCTATTTCCCCCATTATTACACTAACATACACTAATCTGTGGTTGTTATTGTTCCTTTCTTTTTCATTATATGCACCTCCCATTCTCATTGTTTTGTGTGGCGCATATATATTTAGTGCCCCCTTGTACCAATATTTATGTGTTTACATAAATAAATAAAGATATCCTAAGTCTTGCAAACTCCTGGCAGGTATTATCAGATACTAACCGTCCATTTCATTCATATCTTTATTCTTGTATATCTTCTGGTAGAACGAAACGCAAATACATTAAAATCCATGCACACAAGCAAATCTATATAAGTTCTGTAATAACTTACCTAGCCAATATACTCAGTGATGAACGGACTGTTAGAGTTAGCCTAGTAAATAACCTGTATTCATAAGCATGTCTCAAATTTGATAATTTGTACAGACTCAGATTTTTTCACCTTTTCTCCGTTTCTTTTTTTGTTTCTTGGAAAAGAAAAAACTTGTTGAAACACCTCGTGCCGAGAATTCTATATTGTACCAAAGTATATTGTTGAATAGAGCCATTAATAACAATCATGGTCAGCAACTAAGATCTTGCTCACAATCGAATCCTCCATCAGCGTTTAATAATTCTTCCATCCTCACGATTAACCCTCATTTATCTTCGTCACCATGCGCCAACAATACCAATGTTTCTAGTTCAAGAAACGTTATTCTTGGTATGCTTAAACCACTCTCTAAACTGCATGTTGGAGCTTTTACTGTTCGAAACTTGTGTCAGATAAGACAACAGACTGCTCAAGCTGGGACTCTAGAATTCCGCGTTATCGACGTATGCTGTGTCTCTGGGACGCGCATACAGGATCCAAGTACGGTCATTCATTGGACCTCACCTTATCAATATAAAGGAACGGCATGACTTACCGTTCAAGTATTTGGAGACCTCACTCCTATTTCCCGTGACCCCGCTGGTTAAGGTATATCATTGAGTTCTAAAACAGGACAAGCTCTCCTAGACTGGATTTCATTTAACAGTCGGTTGTGCACTGTCTGAAAAAAACAGACAGTAAGAACTCCAAAAGATAAAGACACGCCATTGCCCCCATTGATTGCAGCTCAGGTAAAGTTAACGGTGAAATTTATGGGCTTTCAAACGCTCTGATTTGGTACTAGTGGTAGGTGATTTTAATGCTCAAGTAGTTAAACTAAACCAAACCGAAAGTCACTTAGGCGGATCTTATGGTGTTGCGTCTCAGCGATTATATAACAGCGACCACCTGTTGTAACTGAGCTCAGATAACCGTCTAGTTCTGGAAAACATTAACTTTAAACATAAAGGGAAGCATTGTCTGACGTGGCAATCTCCACACTCAACCTTATGATGGACCTAAGTAGACCACATTGCCATTGCCCATTGTTGAAGAGGCTTGATAAAAGAAAACCACTCATTCTGGATGGTGTGAGTTCTCAACTCAGTGAAGCTAAAAATGCTATAGGGAATCTACAACAATGGATGGCAGAAGGGTCCGATGGACTCACCGCCAAGATTTTTAAGGAGGGTGTTCCAGGTTTAGCAGTTAAATTAATTGAGATCCTAGATAAATTCTGGGAACTGGATGTAATCCAATTTGACTAGTCTCGGTCGCTAATCGTCCCAGTTTGCAAGAAACGACAAAATCCTCTTGTGACAATCACAGAAAAATCAATCTGATCACTATAATATTTAAACTAGCCTCAATGATCATCTAACGCTTAGCTACGTTTCGTGTAGAGCAAATCTGATAAGACAAGGCTGATTCCAAACCTCAACATGGATGTATAGATTAAATATTCACCGCTCGGCAGATTTTGAAACATAAATGTACCTTTCGATTCCACGGATTGATAGGTTTTATGGCAATGTCTATTGTTGAAATGTTTGCCAATGAGGCATGTTAACCTGGTACATGCTCACTACTGGTTGATTCAGAGGTTATGGTGCACTGTCATCGGAACTGGTTCATTCAAGTGGCGTTTGTCAGGGTTTTCCGTTTTCCCCATTTTTATGTAACTTTGTCATAGACATGCTTTCATAAACAACATTTTTATCGTTTGACTTTTCGAGGGTCGATCTTCTACCAGGAGATTCCCTTGTTGACTTAGAATACCCAGATATAGTTCTATTTGGTGGAAGTGTTGACGAAATGCAGTTTTCTAACCATCTTGAGCAACAATGCAAGGATGTTTGGGATGAGATTCTCCATCTCCAAATACAAAATGTCGCTTCAAGTTCGGTCTACCTCAACGCCTGAATAAATGATAGAGAATGAAGTAGTTGAGCGTATCAATCACTTGGATTGTTTTTGGAGTGTCGTCAGTTGTGATGGGTTAGTGCCTGAAGAAATCTCAACACGAATTCAGAATGCCTGATGGATGTTTACCAACTGGCTTCACTTATGTCATAAAGGAGATAACCGTCTGCAACCGAAGGACGAAGGGAATGGGAAATTGAACCGATTTGTGTTTTACTGACTGACATTTCACATATTCTTTTAATAGATCAACTTGAATTCATGAAACTTGCTTTAGCTTCTATCAATTAGTCAATAATTAAATGAGTATGTGTATGATTTACATCAACAAAAATAATTACTGTCGCTTGGAAGTACTACTCGTTACTGAATTATTCATTGGATTTCTTAATAGTTTCCTATTCTTCTGCTGGAAATGGTTTGCCTCTGGAAAATTAAGTTAAAAGGTTTCATAATCATATTTTAACCGTATGATGTAAAACGTGGTTACCTAAATATAGTTTTGTGAACTCATTTACTGCTTCCTGAATGGCCAGACTGAAATTTGTTCAGCGGAGGTTGAACTTAGAACCAAATGTTTGAACTCACATGCTATCACCACTGAGTTATGCTTCATAGCTTTTATGTTTTTGTATGAACTAAACAACGTTAGTCATACTATCAGTTTTTTTGTGTGACTGTATTTAAAGTTCATAATAATTACGGTATTAAATCTCAAATCCTTTTTAATAACTTATTGTAACTGTGGTTATTTTCCTATAATAATTATTATTTATGTAAAGGTATGTTTAAACATTTACATGTTATAGTTGTCTCATTTTTGTTCTGTGTTTATCAATAGATTGACTATCCAAATATTCTTGTCGTTTTGATAGCGTCCAGCGTTACACTTAAAGTTGCATCCGGTTGTTTGCTATGATTCGAACACTCCATATAAATCGATACGTAATAATGTTGTTTCGCATCCACATGTCGAAAGTTATTACAAGTTTCTTCTTAGTATTTGATGAATGGATATTTGTTACATATTTTCTTACCAATTGCGTTATAAAAATGATCAGTTATATTCTTTGTCGTTTCCCCTTTCAAAACGATAATATTTTACAGCTTGGATTTTAGAGAATTGTTGATCTATTTTAATCACGTAATCCAGTAGTGTATTTTCTCAGTAGTAGTTGTCTTGTTTTTTTATAGATTTGTTTCTCGTGTCAACCCCCGTGACTCATCTCGCCATGTCATATTGGGCACACAACAGTTCAAACCATCTGAGTTCGCTAATCAGCTGAATTTAAATATGGATAATGCTTGGGGTATACTGCGATGTGTCGTTGATTTCTTCATGAAAATGCCTGAAGGCAAATATCTAATGTTGAAGGATCCTAATAAGGTTTGTCGACGTATATGTAAATTGTATCTAATTTTGCCGTCTCATTACATTTTCATTTTATTTTTTGTTTAAACACAAATTATTCGATAACCTCAAAATACTATTGGAAAGAGAAACAATCAATAATGTTTTTGAACAGGAAGGGAAAGACTTTCTGTGAGGATTATCAAAGATTGATGACAAATAGTTCGAAAATTTACATTTCGATAGTTCGAAATTCTATTTGTTTGTTCATTGTCTGCAAACGTTTAGTAGTCCGTCACCTGCTTCGGTTTGGGCACCCGGGCAATATCACAGCCCTCACACAAATCAAGTGAGATTTGTGTGGCGCATATATATCTGGTGCCCCTTTGTACCAATATTTATATGTTTAAGTAAACAAATAAATAGTCCGTCACCTAATCCAATGACAAAAAGTACGTAATGTGTTTCACCGAAGCACATCCTGCAACAAAGATACGTATCGTACAATATAATTTTTAGTGACCTTAAAATAACCGCAGGATAATTCTCAGCATATCTGCAAACCAAACTTATAAACAAGATAGAGTAATCCATGATGAGAGAGCGACGGTAATTGAACTTAATATAGTTTGACGCGATGTTTATGTTTTCACAGTTATTAGTAGAAATTGGTACAAGCAACTCTATACGCTTATTTTATCTTGTCTACTTGATTGTAAATTGTTGGTATTTAAGCTAAAGCCGATCTCATCCCAGACAAAATAGTAATACTGTTCATCATAACCAACATGTCACTGACCAAACGCAAAAGAACCCATCATGTAATAGCAAGAAAGAAAAAGTATAAAGATATTTTGGAACCCATGTTCTAAAGAATGACAAAAAGTCAATGTCCCACCACCATTATAAGCGATTTCGAACCGTGTTAAGCAATCTCTAACCGTTATTCAGTGTATTCATGCGAATCCCAATAAAGTATTCTGCACCTACATATATGGGTCATACATCTAGTGACTCTATGAATTTGCGACAAGTTTGTGTCTGGTGGCTTCTAACTTCAAATCTATTTTGTACATCAGCCGTGAGTATGCGTTGAGGTAGGTGGTGAATAGGTATTTATAATCCGCGTTCTTATCGTATCAGTCTATGTAGATTCACTACTTCACTTATCGATTTGCCGAGCTTTACAGACTGCCGTAAAGTCAATTAATTTGCCTATGATTGGGAGTCACTAGGTTTATTTGTATCTCGCAAACGGTAAAATTTAAGTCTGCACACTCATATGTTCGAAACCAACTAAGTTTTCTCGTCAGGAGTCTTAGTTAGGCGTTAAATAATTACTGAGGCTAGTGTTGTAGATACTACATTAATCAAACTGATTCTTTCGTGATTTTTACGAGAGGATCTTCATCATTTATCATAAACTGGAACGATCAGTAATCGATACCAGTTCGATAAGATTGAGTCTAGTTCCTAGACTTTAACTAAGATCTCATACTTTTTGACAGCCAAGACTGGATCACCTTAGTCAAGGATCTTTGGGGTTAAGTTACCAAGGCTTTTCACCCTCACTTTAGATTAGCTATGAGTTCTGCTCCCAAGTTTTCAGTAAGCTTATGTTAATATCCCATTCAGGTTGCTTGGTGGTAGTAAGCAAATGAAGGGTAACTTGAGAGTTGTTAAGATATTCCTCAGTGATCTCTCGATTGTTTCTGTCTTCTGGGTTTAGGTTGAATCACTGTCCTATCTTTTCCAGAACTAGTCTAACTAACTTCCAAATCCCTAGTATCTATTACATTGGTAAGTCAACCACTCGCCACTGTTGTTCCATCTGCTACAAGGTTCAAATATTGAAATTTATCACGTGTATTTTAGAGGACGATTTCAGAGGAATATAGAAAACATGTCATTACTTCAAATCATCCTCATTTGCGGAAGATGGTGAAGAAGATGTGTGAGGAGTGTTAGTCGTGAAATCAACTGAACCTAGTAAGAAATGAAAAGGGATTGTTTTCGAGGAACAAGAAGTTCTCGAGTGTTGTTATGCGTGAAAGTGTGGTGGGTACTCTGTGACAGCTCACACTAAGGATATTTTTCCCAGTAGGGCTGTAAAAGGAATTGGGCCAGCGATTGTCGTGGTAGCGTGACTACAGAAAACTGCTTAGAACCAGTCCGGCGCCGCCTTCTGTGGAACGTTTTCCATGTGTGGGTTTTACATAGATAATCACTTTGTTTACTTTGTACATGTATGAGATCGACTCTGAGTACGTTTGTGCTATTCATTTGTTAGGTCGAATAAAATCTAGTTGAGTCATTGATTCACTATGGAAAGGTGTTCAAAATGTTATATCAATGAGCGTTGGTGATATAACAGGGGATTTTACCACGGTAAATATTTGCAGTGCATGCTTTTTGTATCATGTTTATTAATCGTTGGAGATGTTGGCTGATGGAAATTTTTTATTTATATTTCATTGGTTTTAGCCTGTACTTCGCATATACTCTGTACCACAAGATGCTTCCGATTCAGATGAATGTGAAGATGGTATAAGTGAAGAAGAAGCAGTTATTGTTGAACAACAAAACTCTGAACCAAGTAAGATGGAAGTAAATAACATGTCAGGACATAATCAAAACGGTATAGACGGTCAGTAAAGAAAGACTAAAGCTGTCACTCAGTTAAGGACGATTGAGCATACTGAATCGTAACTCATACTTGACAAGTACCTTCATAATAATTATTTATTAAGAACTACACCTAAAACTTTATTCCGTTTCGGAACATGTTATTTTCAACTAGGTGTTTTATTATATATATATTTATACGAGGTAGCCTTTGTTTTGTTGCGTGTTCATTTGCAAACAGATATAATCAACCGCATGAGCAACATTTAAATTAATGGATGCTTTTACACCTGGTTAAAAACCGAGAGTGGGTGGTTACTAAGGCTTTTTCTGTACAAATATGCGTATTAGGTCTTAATACGACAGTTCTCAGAATTGCCAGTGAAATGAACCAATGAGTATGTTGTCTAGGAATGATGCCTTGAACTAGCGAATGCAGTTAGGGTCCTTCATTTTCTTCTATGCAAGTAACTAAGAAATCACTTCAAGAAGTATTGCGCGTAAAGTCCTATTACTTATTTGCGACAATTCACAAACTGCTCAGAATGTGTTTTTTTGTTTTAATATACGACTTTCTATTCAAACCGAGCTGACCACGTTCTCTGAATTCGTACGAAGGTTCTTCCTATTCATCATTCTTTTCCCATTTGAACCAAGCAGTCACGAGCCAGAATACTATTTAAAATTAAATAAACGCTTAGAACGATGCAGTTGATTTTGACTGATTGATTCAGTGTTCATGTTTTCTCTGATAACAATAGGTAACATGAATAGTGCTAGTTGACAAGCAGGATCATATCGTTTTAAGATTTACTGCATTAAGCTATTCAGTTGAAATGTTGTAATGAGTAATTTAACGGTACATGCATTAATTATTGGAGGTTGTTGTCTTACGAGTTATAACACGCAGGAGGTAAGAGTACTTCACGTGATATCAATACTGTCATACCTGGATTTCTGTTAGATACTCAGTCGAGGACCTTAATACATTCATAAACCTCGGCACAGAGGAAGTGATACTTTGCTTTGCAAGCAAAATGTTGCGGTCAACAAAAATGTAGTCTTGATTGAACATTTAGGCATAGCCACGGTATAGAGAAGGGACGAAAAACCTTCAAGATTAGATAATCTACTTACCAGCTCATAGTTGATGTCTGCGAACAAGCGCCAATGATGGATTATGACTACCGGGTTCAAGTGAGGTACAAAACTCCTGTTACAGGTCAACTGGGAATAATCCTTTAAGGTAGTAACCAATCGAAACATACGGATCTGAGAGTCTGTTCTCAAGGGGTGTGACGGTGAAGATCTTAACAATTTAAAGATAACAGATATCTTTAATGACAACCTCTGACCAGTTAAACCAGAAACAAAATCGCAGAACACTCTCTGACACTAGTGCCAACTGATGGTCTCGGTGAAGCTCCCAAACCCAATCAGTTTGTGACGAAGGGTAACTTTTGGTTACAAAAGACAATTTTAAGTTCACTACACCTCTTGGTTCTAAATAGTGACTTCTTAGAGTCAATCATAAACATTAACGATTCCAGATATAGAGTTCCATAAAAAGACAAAGAAGTATGAGTGCACAAAAGTGTGTAGGTATCAATATTCTGAGTTTCATAAAGAGCAACTATAGGTCCTATCCGTTTCTTACTCTTAATTATCCATCTGCTAGATAAAATTAACTCTGACATATTGATCTATAGAGACGATCTGATAACGGCATACAACATATTAAGTTCACTTAGCCGCTCCAAAACGAGCATATTACCAGAACGTCATCTCCACGCTCCTCGAAACAACCGCCGGCAGAACGAACATCCGGGTACGCTCTCACTTTTCCTCACCAGGAGTTGCTTTCATTCAGAATGCTCTAGCAGCCACATCAGTGGATAGCGTCAAGAGACTTGACAAACACGTACCCACCCATGGATTATCATCTGATTCTTAGTTTGTTTGTATCTGATATATGTCCGACAATTTATTACTGTTATCATTACCGCGTGTCAGTAAATACTTCCTGCTTCTTTCGGTGACATCTTCATCTTCCTCCTATTCTCTCAATTCCATCTTCTTACACATTAACAACTTAGCGAATGAAGTATTTATTCTCAAAACAATCGGCTTCTCTTAACATTCGAATTATTACTTTATTATTTCATACTGCAACCAATCAACCTCCTACCTGGTAAAATGATCGATAGCTGCTTGCATCCACAAACCTAATGTCCTGAGACAAACGCGAGCACTGAACTACAAGATATACAAATCCACCAATAACTACCAAATTGACGATAATTAGTGTAGTCGAGTGGTTAGACCACCATATGTAGGGCATAGGCAAATGAATCAGCTGGAAATGAATACTATGGGAGAGAACAAAAAAGCGTCCATCTGAAGAGGAAATTAAGAAAAGACGTTGGAAGTGGATAGGTCACACACATTGTGGAACTCATCAAACTGAATCACGAAGCAGGCACCAACTTGGAATCCTGAAAGGAAACGGAGAAGGGGAAGACCGAGGAACACAATTCATCGGGAATCGGAAGCAGACATGAATAAGATGAATAGCAATTGGAAACAACCGAAATGTTACATCTGGCCGATTGTGAACGCTATATTTGCTTCCCTAAGCTAGTTCCGTACCCCCGAGCTAGAACTATACACCCACTTGAAGACCAGAGAAAAGGCACAAAGTACGTGGGAAGCGCTTTACTACAGGATTCATTTATGTACAGAATATACAGGAATTTTATTGTAATTAAAGGACCTTGAGTTTCCATAGTAGCAGTGTGTTAAACAGCCAAGGATCTCGTTATTTTAATAGCATAGTCGCTGATTAGTTGGGTCTCTTTATGAGCCTCTGGAGGCTGTGATAGAGTTTACTGTAAGCCGACTTAACAGTAAATTAAACTAGGATCTCAGAAAGTTTATAGCTAAAAACTCACCACAAGTTTCTGGAGTAATGTCCTTGTTGATTGGCAATGACACTCGAAAATTGAAACTTAGGCAGGCAGTGGTCGAAGGAAAAGATATTATACGATAGTCCATGATTTAAAATTATGTAAATTGTCAAGCGAAGAAACAAGAAAACGAAAGAGACCCAGATAACTACCCAGTCCTTGCTTATAGTAATTACTAGCCTATGTATATTTACGTCGATTAAAGCCATATATGCTAGTGCTTGATGTTTTAACAAGTTTTTTTTCACGGAAGCATGTAAGTGCTACTAAAGCTTTGTTAATAAACCATAGATAAAACACAAATATAGTTTATTAGTTATTTGTATCCATCGAGCAAGTAAGCTGAGTACTAAACAGTATTACACTGTGATAATATACGTCCACATTAATCAACAGAGTGATAGAAAAATGAGCTAATATAAGTAGAAATATATTGATTAAGTAAGAATGAATATGTAAATCAATGACAGGCTGCGTTTCTTTAGTCAGTCTCACTAATGTAGATATTGGTCTAGCTCGGTGTTAAGGCTACTCCAATAATAGATCTAATATTAGGATTGTAGATTTATCATGATCTGACTACTTAATTTTCAAGATCTTACGTTGAAGTCACATAACAACCTACACTGACTCGCCCTATCATGTTGATCAGCAATATTATGTTTAGCACTTAGAAAAAAACATTTTGTTTGGGGATTGAGCAATGTATTTAATCTTGAAAAGAATGACCGGGTCTACGGGGCCCGATTCAATTATAGAAGCCGTGGCTGGTAAAGTGTTGTCAAACTACAATACTTGTGGCATCATCAAAATCACCTATGAACCACTACGAAGATGATTGCGAAGCATTTTGAATGATTTTACAACATATTCTTAATCACTTAAAATTGCACGGATACTTTATTTTCAGTTCATAAAATCAGACCTAAAATGTCACGTATTACTTAAATGTGTCAAGATTTCTAATTGACTGTTACGCCTTGTATTTACACTTATGACAAAATTTCAGTTTCAGTTTGAAAATGACAGGAGGCTTGATGGCCTGTGTTAGTCCTGTCAATGATGGTCTCTCAGTTGATCCAACTTCCTTGAAGGAGTCAACGGATGGAGTCTCAACCACGTGCTGAGGTAATGAATTCCACTCGTTGATTATTCGATGGGAAAGTCGGTAGTCAGCTGACAAGTAATTCGTTCTGGGCTTGTGAACTTTCTTGGAGTGTCCTCTTAGATTTTGTGTTTCAGAAGACAGGAAAAATGAGGGTATATCAGGTGCAAATTTGTCACTAAGCAATTTGAAAACTGTAATCAAGTCTCCTCTGGATCTTCGATATGACTGCGTGAATAGGTTTAGCTTGGTCAGTCTATCACCATACGGGAGCCTCGCTATTCCAGGAATCAGCTTAGTTGCTGTTCTCTGGACCCTTTCCAAAAGTTCACTGTCTTTCTTTAAACAGGGTCTAGCCGCTCGTACGCAGTGCTCAAGTTGAGGACGTACGAACACTGTGTACAAAGTCAGAAACGTTTTAGCGTCGATATGACTAAAAGCCCTATATATTGACCATAAAGTTCTAAAACCTTTGGCGGATATTGCACGACAGTGTGCAGTAGTCTTTAAGTCTTGACTAACGATGACGCCTAAGTCATTGTGTGCCTGGACAATAGGTAACTCAGTGTTATTCATCGTGTATGTATCTGTACCCTGGTGGCCAATATGCACCACAATACACTTGGAAGTGTTTATCGGCAATTGCCGGATTTGGGACCATTCAGATAATCTCTCCAGGTCATTTTGAAGTTCTAAGCTATCGCCTTTGCTTTGTATCGCTCTCCATATATTGATATCGTCAGCATAGAGTAAGACCGACGACGATAGTAGACGAGGGAGGTCATTTACGTACAGGAGGAATAACACTGGCCCCAAAACTGTACCCTTGTGGACTCCACTAAGCACAGTTTCCCAGCTAGACAACTTGGAGTTCACCCTTACTCTTTGTTGACACCCAACTAGGAAGTCTTTTAACCACATCAATAGATTGTCTCCAATCCGGACATTCCTTAGCTTATATAACAGCCAGTTATGCTGTTTTCTGTGACTGAGATTATGTCTGGCCTAGTTGAGTCAATCTATACACCGAGTTCCGGTAGCTTATTGAGTAAGCTCCGGGCGTTGGTATAACAGATCCGAAGCCTATTTAGGTGGCCTCATGCTTCACCAAGAGTGGCTTCGGCATCATTCTCTGAACCTTATAATTTGTGTCCATTATCTAAGATTAAGTCGCGTTCGTTTGGGGATTTGAAAACGACTTTGAGTAGTCTAGACTGATGAGGCTTCAGATGCGCTAGGTTTCCTAGTCTATACACCTTCAGCAAGGTGACTCCGGAGATGTTTTGGGGCATAACTTGGTTGAGTAGTTGTTTTGTCAACACAATGTCATGCTCAAAACGAGCTTTTGGTTCCGAGCTTTCACTCTCCTTGACTCTATGGAGAATGATTGATCTGTCGCTGTGATCAGACCTCGGCTTGTCGACCCTATTGGTGGAGGTATGATTTCCTTTTACGTCATTTTGGCTTTTTTTTCTTACGACCTGTACCCAATCGCCAACGTTCTTTGGAGTGGTAACCACATTCGCGTCAGGCGTGCTGTGGGATTCCGGAAGATTCAGGACGACTTGGGAGATTGGGTCATCTTTCGCGCTGGAAGCCGATCGAGCCTTGCGATTTTGGCTTCCGGAAGTTCCCTTCTGGGTACCATTTTTGATACGAGGGACAGAAGAGAATTTTTGCTCGAGTTTCTGGTTGTGACAGACCTGTTTGGAGGATGTGCCTCACTTGTGCCTGCCTTATGTCAATCTACGTGTCGACAGATTGAGTTCTGACTGATGTGTCCCGACCGCGCTTGCCGAGACACTTTTTCGCGGCATTTACTATTGAGATAGCCTCGGTTAACAGACTATTTGCATCCAAACAGCACTGTTGACATAGCCATACGCACCCATTTTTACTGAACCGCTTGATAGCTGCAGGTGTTAGATTCGTGCAAACATCGTGGTACCTACCTTTGCACTCATAGCACTGCATGCCGCTGTCAACGGGATATCGACTTCCTGGGCGGTGGCAGATGCTTTTGTTGCATCTTCCAGTCATTTTTGGATGAGAAAAAGAGTTTTGACTAAAAGTAGAAAAAAAACTATAAATAGTTAGGACCAAAGCACTAACAGATACAATAGAAAAACAAGGTACTCTGGAGTACCGATGATAAAACTATTTAGGATACCAAAAATGATACTCTAGTCGAATACTTTAACTGAAAGAAATTCAATCAAAGTATAAAACAGTATTCTCGATACGTTAATAACGATCAAAACAATAGAATTTACTCAACGAGGAAAAATACCACTGTCCTTTTTAAATAGCGCGCAGATGGATAATGGGTCAGGGATTCAAGGCATGTATTAGCTCTAGAATTACTACTGTTATCCATGCAGCGTTTACGATCTAAGGAACGATAGCTGATTTATTGAGCCATTCGCGGTTTCACCGTTTTAAGGTATGTACTTAGACATGCATGGCTTAATCTCTGAGACAAGCATATGACTACTGGCAGGATCAACCAGCTTATTCACAGTTATATAATATACCCTTGTGGGCCAGGGTAATCTTGCAATGGTTTTCAGGTGAACCAGACACCATCCAGATTTTCACACCGCAACCCAAACAGTACAGCTCAATCCCACTTGACAGGAGAACCAGACACTATAAAGGCTTCAACGATACAATCCGAACAGCTCAGCCCAATCCTGTGGCGCAACCACTCAGGTGCCAAACACCCTGGTGGAGCATGTAATTAAATCTCATGTCCTTCAGCAGTTTACTTTCGATGTGAATGTATTGTGCATGTGTAGTCCGTGAAGGGATGAAATTATTGTTCTCTACTTTTTGGAAATCCCATATCACACTATTAAATTCTGTACAGCTTTCGAAACGCCCACTAAGGTAAAGTAGAGTAATTGGTATCCAAAATCAAGTTACGAAGCAACAATCGAGCCAATGTGTACACCAGGAAACAGAGAAACATAAATAAATGCTTTCTCAGTGATCTCGTGTTTTAGCGCAGCAAAAGCTTCTTAAATATGAGGACATTTAATATTTGCGCAACCAAACGGACACCCGGCAATTGAAATACTGAATAAATACCTCATGCTGGGCCGTTGAAGGTTGTTTACCTAGAACGACAGGCTAATTTGATTAGACCTGTCTACTTTACCGTCCCGTCAAACTTCCTGATCCCGGTTTTTTATATCTAAATTGGCTTAATTTGAAGCTTTTGTTACTGTCATTCGCTCTCTATATCCTTCAGAAAATATAAGTGCATTGTGTCAGCTCTTCCGGGTCGATGACTAGCGTCTTCTTTATTTCTCTTCTCCACAGACAAATAGTGGTACTCACTATTTTTTTGGTACTTTTTATTGCGACCTGGAGGGATATGTGACCCATAAGTAAGATATTTCATGAGGTACTTCCCTGAAGTATGTCACATCAGTAGACTAGCGGCATCCTGGGATGTTGTTTAATTTTCTTTCACAATTACCTTGTTAAGAAATGTCACCGAAAGTTCTGCTGCTCAAGAGTTAACAGATTTCAAGAGATTATCATTTCGAATATCTTAATTACTGCTGGTTGGGCTAATATCTCGTAAGTTAGACTCAATCTCTTACAGCACTTAACAATGCGCCTTTCCATTGGGACGTGTTTATCAACACAGTGATTCGATTGACCACTTATCTCGCTTTGTTAGAAACCTGGATTTTGGGGATAAGTTGATAAGATCAGCCAGTATTATATCCCTCATCCATATATCGACCGAGATATTAGTCTATAGACTCTACTCAATCACATCGCCGAGACTCTGCATGTGGCACCGACGCTTGCCACAGAATGTTCTTTAGGTTGAAATTTGGGAGGGCTCTGATTCCAAACGGGTCTCATTATGAATTTTTACTACTATTTGAATACAACAAAGGAAATGGTGACTGTTTCTGTCTCCATATGCTGGGTTTTTCATCTAGTATATAAGGTCGTTTTAAATGAGGAAAAAGTATATAAAACATTTAACGGGGATAATTTATCGTGTCCATATTTGTCATTATTGCGGCTTGGATTAATCCTGAATATTGTGGGCAAAAACTTCCGATCAGCGTAGTTTAATTAAAGTTCCTAGGCGACATACTGGACCACTGTACACTTTCCTTCCGCAAAATATCTGAATAAACAGTGTGACTTCTTAACCAAGTGCAGTTTTATCCAGTCATCTCATATTTCATGTCGTGTATCGACATACCGCTTTTAGAATGAACTTTGACACTTTAGATTTATAAACGGCTCATTTTTGTTTACAAAACTAATAATAAAGGTGTCTTTTCATGTTATTCTGTATTTATGGGATGGTGTATTAAAACATTATACACTTTTACTGACAATCCGAAACATGAAACAAAACTTCTAAATAATTGCATATTTAATCCTAATACGAATGACTTTTCCTAGATGAAGCGACAAAAAGATGTACAGTTGGAATCGAAACCAAAAGTTGGTAGAAATTTTTTCAAGGTTATTTTTCATTGTAGATACAAAAGCGTACTGATTTTTTAAATGATTTAGATGGACTCCTTGTCAGCTCCAAAAATTTTAATAAAGTATGGCATTAAATATTATTTTATCTAACCTAGTTGTTTGTTAAAATCTAGCTTTTTGTACAAAAAACAAGTCAAGAATGGATCAAAACACAAGTTGAAAAGCTTGTACAAAGTCGCACTCATCTATTTAGATTTATTGAAGTTTTAACAAACTTCATTGTATCTGGGAATCATCATCCACATGTTGTTCAACAAGTGCTAGTTTGGTTAGATTATTGTCTACAACACCATTCAACTTCTATGCAAACACCAGAAATTCAGAAGCCTTTAAGGAATTTGTGTTCATATTACTACGAAATGAGTGAGATGGGGAATATGTTTTTAAGGGCTGCGAACCGTGGTAGTGCCATGGAAAATTGGTCAAATGTTCAAAAGCTTATTGGTCATTTCCCTCATAGATTTTATTATCCAATTCTACCTAAAACAAAGTTTGTATACATTGATGGTAAGTACCAGTGTGATAAGGTTGTACCGTTGCTGGATTTCTCTATACAATAGTGAGCCCCCAAATGCCCTGTTATGGCTGAGAGTGGGAAGGAACCACCCTCTCTCGAAATGCTCTCACACGACCACGTGTATATAGCCTCTGCCAGGGATGTCCCACTCACTGCCTTCTCGCGGCGAGGGTTTTGTTTCCGAAATCGAGAGGACGAAAAGTGAATGTCCAGCGCTTTAACCGGGTTGGTGGACACGGAAAGTTCACCTAGGGGAGTTGGAAAACCGTGATTCCAAACCAATAGGGCACATGAACTCCAGTATCCTGAAGGAACAAATGACGTGTGAATCAATCGTTGGTCTCCGTTTACCATAGGACTGCATCTCCTCACGATGCCCCACTGCCTTGTGGATCAGATCTATAGGTCAAAGGCTTTGGGTGTGGCCCCCTTAGAGAACCACCTGCTTCGGCCTGGGCACCTGGGCAGTATTATAGTTCTCACAAAATTAAATGAAATGACAGTTTTGTGCGCATATATATCTGATGCTCCCTTGTACAAATATTTATGTTTAAATAAACATAATAATAATATAAATGGTGTTTGACAAAAGGTCTGTTCATTAAGACGAAACATGCTTATATAAATTATACTATTGAAAACGAGGCGGGGCTACCGATCGAAACATTAGTGAAAAATAGGAATCCTCTCAAGTTCTTAAATTGACGAAAACGTCATAGTATAGTGAAACCTATTAAACCTCTGGCACCAAATACGCCTGTTTACATCAATTTTAGCAAGCACTAATTTTAAGCATATGGAGAGACATCGTCTAACATGGCGACCACCTGCACCAAACCAACGATGGACTCAAATAGACCATATTGTCATCAGTCATCGTTGGAGAGGCTCAATAGAAGATTGTCGCTCGTATTGGAATACTTGTTTAGACTCTGATCACGCTTTAATACGAGTACGCATTTGTCTGCGCCCCAATGGACGCAGGAAAAGTGCACTAAGAAGACCCATTAGGATTGAACTGGAGGACGAGAAAGCCAAATGCGAATTCCAGAAACAACTGAGTGCACATCTAGGCAGTTCTGTAAACGAGACTGATCCAGATGCTGCTTGGAAAGAAGTACGAACAGCTGTGGAAACAGCAGTAACATCTATTTTATTATTATTTATTTAGACACATAAATATTGGTACAAGGAAGCACCAGATAAATATGCGCCATACAAATCTCTTTCGATTTGTGTGAGGGCTGTGATACTACTCAGGTGCCCGAACTGAAGCAGGAGTAACATCTATTAGTTATTTAAACCATAGGGTTCCAAAAAACCAGTGGATTTCTTCTAAGTCTATTTCACTGATGGATTCGCGTAAACTCATCCCATCAGGCTCTGAACACGACGAAGAGCGTAAACAAATTAGATCTAGGTTAACTAAAAGTCTAAGGAACGATCGTGAGCAGTGGTGGGCAACGAAAGCAAAAGAGATGGAAAAGGCAGCGGCTGTAGGCAACACCAGGCAACTATTCAGACTAATAAAAGAAACCGGAATTAAGAAGTCAAGTGTAAGTGAGACAATCTCGGAAAAAGACGAAACCCTTATCTGCTCTCAACCTAAACGTTTAGAACGATGGGCGGAACACTTTAAGGAGCAGTTTAGCTGGCCTTCAGCTACTGCACAACTACCCACTATTCCCAGAAAACGGGAATGGAACATTGAAGTAGGCCCCCCGACCCTACTTGAAGTTCAAAAGGCTATAGGTAATCTGAAACGGGGAAGAGCAGCTGGTCCTGATGGATTGGTTCCAGAGGTTTTTAAATACGGTGGTCCAATTTTAGCGATTAGGTTGACTAATATTCTGGCTAAAATCTGGGAGACGGACGTAATCCCATCTGACTGATCACAATCTCTGATTGTCCCAATATATAAGAAGGAGCCAAAATCATCCTGTGATAACCATAGAGGGATTAGTCTGACTAACATAGCATCTAAAATACTAACCTCAATAATTATCGGGCGCCTAATTAAGATTCGTGAACTGCAAACACGAGAAAACCAGGCTGGCTTCAGACCTGGTCGTGGCTGTATCGACCACATATTCACCATTCGTCAAGTTTTAGAGCACAAACACGCTTATCGGCGTCCGACAATGATAGTTTTTCTTGACTTGAAAGCAGCATTTGACTCTGTAGACCGAGAGGTTCTGTGGCAGTGTCTGTCATTAAAAGGTGTACGTGAGAAGTACATAAACCTTGTGAATGCTCTTTGCTCGAACACTTCCATTCGAGTCAGAGCTTATGGCGAACTATCATCTGATTTCGCATCCTAAAGTGATGTCCTGCTAGGCTGTCAACTATCTTCTTTTTTTGTTTGATTTCATAAGAGACCTACTGCTGGAAATATCTTTCTCGTCGACTGAATTTTCAGGAGGTCTACTTATCGACTTTAATACGCAGACGACATAGTCCTGTGTTAGTGAAAAGGCTGATAAAATGCAGTCTTTTGGTAGAACTGAGCAAAAATGCCAGGATTTTTGGGATGCGTTTCTCTCCCACTAAATGCAAATTGTTGCTTCAGGACTGGCCTGTGTCAACACCTAAACTAAGGATAGGGAGTGAAGTAATCAAATGCGTCGACAATGTCACTCATCTTGAAAGTCTGATCAGCCCTAATGAGTTGGTGTCTGACGAAATCTCAGCACGGATTCAGAAAGCTCGTTTTGCTTTTTCCAATTTACGTCACCTATGGCGAAGACAAGATATCCGTCTATCAATTAAGGGACGAGTATACTACGCTGCAGTTCGTTCTGTCGTAATTTACGGTTGAGAAACGTGGCCATTAATAGTGGAGGATACTCGTAGGTTACTTGTATTTGACCACAGATGCCTTAAAAATATTGTTCGCATCTGCTGGGATCACCGGGTAAGTAATAATGAGGTCAGATGCATTTTTATTTATTTATTTAAACACATAAATATTGTTACAAGGAAGCACCAGGTACGTATGCGCCACGCTAATCTCATTTGATTTGTGTGAGGGCTGTGATACTACCCAGGTGCCCAGACTGCAGCAGGTGGTTTTCTCAGGGGCCCACACCCGGAGCTTCGACCTAAAGGTCTGATCCATAAGGCAGTGGAGCATCGTAAGGAGATACAGTCCCATGGTAGCCGATGACCAACAACAGGTTCATACACCATTTGTTCCTTCAGGATACTGGAGCCCATGTGCACCATTGGTTTGTAATCAGGGTTTTCCAAATCCCCTAGGTGGACTCGCCTTGTCCACCAACCCGGTTAAAGCGCCGGACATTCGCTTTTCGTCCTCTCACTTTTGTGAACAACACCCCTGCCAAGAGAAGGCAGTGAGTGGGACTTCACTGGCAGAGGCTATATATTCGCTGGCCATATGAGAGCATTTCGAGAGGGAGAGGTGACTCTCCCCACTCTCGGCCGTACCAAGGCATTTGGGAGTTATTAGGGAATGATGGTAAATCAATTTATAAGGTTGTGAATCTACGTCGACTGAGATAGTTGCACCACATATAACGCATGACCGACCACCGATTACCACAGCACGCAATGCTGACCAGTGTTGGAGATAGATGGGAGAAAGTTATGGCTGACTGAACCAAAACGTGAGATCAATCAATAAAATCACTAACTTCTAGTCTGAGCCATGTTGGTTAGATGCAGCCTATCGAAGCCAATGGTTGGAGACTCTGGATGACATTGCTCAAAATCCATCACAATGGTGTATGTGTATTCACTCTTTGTCTTCCCTTAAACTGTGAAATCAAAATTACTTTATACCTCCCTTTTCTATGAACTAATTCTTTCTCCCTATATTATATTCTTACATTCAATCTCTTACATTGAAGTAACTACTTCTATGAATTTGTTCATCTTGTTGTGGTTGTGAGGTATGGTAACATGGACCGATGCGTATATGTGCCCGGTCCTACGTTGCAGCTGACTGGCTGACTAATAGCCTTGTGTTAAGACAAAGACCTCATTTAAGGTCTTAGTGAAACATACTTTACAGCAAAAGTCATGATCACCAAAAGCCTATGTAGGTCAGGTCAAATCTCAATGTGTTTATCAGTCTACTTGCGTGTGTGGCCACATATACACAAGGAGTAATTGTGATTTGCAAAGTAAGGTATCTGAAAACGTGCCAAAAAGACTACAGGATAAAAAAAATATGAGTAAATGATAGACATTTATCGTCCTTTATTGCTACACACAGTTGAAACGGATCATAAAGTTGTTTTAACGGCAGACTGTTTGGTTTTGTACAAAGGTTGTTTAGGGTGTATTCTAAGCTTTATTGAGCCCTTGACCAAACCCCATTTATAATTACAGAAACAGTGTTCCCACCTTAAACCTACCCTAATAATAATGACCTATCGTCCAGGGTGGTGAGTTTCATATTGCTTCTCTTATATTTCTGTTTCCTGGTGCCTCCAATTTTTCTTGTTGAGCTTTTATTTCTCATGTATATGTGTGATCATAGTTTTCCAAATGCATTGAGCTAGTATGTCACGTAGTTCTGATTATCTTCGTATTCTTATTACATTACCCAAATAAGTACATAGTTTAGCAATACTATGAAATTTCAAGCAGACATGAATGGTGGCTAGCGGGGTGCGCATTTCTCCCTAATTAGCGTTAAAATACTCAGTTTCGTGTTAAGATATTCCTTAACAATAAAATGATTTATATACAGCCAGACCAGCTTTTGAACTATTGGGATACTAAGTAAAATGCTCAAAATATTTGATGTATATTTCCTGTAATAATCTTAATAGTCCAAATAGCATAAAAAGATTTGTTGTTTTTCTCCATTATTTGTGGCTACTTATGTGTGATATGAAATACTTCAATTTCCTGTCTCACTCCTTAGATGAAAGTAATCCTACCAGGAAATCCGATGCTCCACTGAATTTAAATAGTTCAGAAAACAATGAAGAAAATCTTGATATCCTGAATGATGAATTTTTGGATGTAGATACAATGTCATCTTTGATGAAAGATGACTCAGAGTATGAACAGGAATCATTGTATCAATCCGTTGAAGAATCTGATGCCGGTGTATTTGATGTCAATGAACCACTGTCACCTGATGCAGAACAGTTTTTAAATACTATAAATGATTGGGGAGATGAAACTATTCCGTCTGAAGCTGAAAGTGATTCAGACAAATTTAATTATCCTGGAATAAAAGATTCTGAGGACGACTTGTCTGTATCAACCGAAGTAAGTCTAGTCATTTTTATTCTGCAATTTATTTGAACACAAACATTGATACAAAGGGGGCAGCAAATACGTATGCGCCACACTATAACAATGGGACTTTTAAGAGATAGAGAATGTAAAGTTTGTATAATAAAAAGAACAACAATAAACAGAAATTTGTGCATGAGAGTGAAATGATAATAATAATAATGATGATAATAATAAGAGGAGGAACAGTTCACTTAGGAGAAATACAACCATAAAGAATCCTTCCATTTAAAGAAGTTACGTTCATCTTTTTTTTACGAAAAAAGTCACAGCAGGATTGCCACTGGCTTCTGTCATGAGCCAAGTCTCCAGCTTCTGTGTTGTACCATCTCTACGACCTTTTACCAGAAAGTTGTAAAGGACTAACAGAAGCCAATCCTGCACAGCTTTTTTCCATAACACGACGTCGTATCACAGACTAATCATCTCTCCGCATTTTCCAACCATTCCCAGCGTCGGCAGATAATGCACGACGTGGAATTCTCCGGGACCACATTCGTAGAACATGACAAAGTCACCGAAGTCAATGTTCTAAAATAGTGACACTTTTTGTATTATTGTCGCTGTGTCTGAACACACGATGCCGAACCTCAGCATTACATAGCCTCTGCCAGGATAGTCCTTCACTTGGTGGACACGGAGGGTCCACCTAGGAGAGTTGGAAAACCCTGATTACAAACCAATGGTGCACATGGGCTCCAGTATCCTGAAGGAACAAATGGTGTATGAACCTGTTGTTGGTCATCGGCTACCATGGGACTGTATCTCCTTACGATGCTTCACTGCCTTATGGATCAGACCTTTAGGTCGAAGCTCCGGGTGTGGCCCCCTGAGAAAACCACCTGCTGCAGTCTGGGCACCTGGGTAGTATCACAGCCCTCACACAAATCAAATGAGATTAGCGTGGCACATATGTATCTGGTGCCCCTTTGTTCCAATATTTATGTGTTTAAATAAATAAATAATAAATACAGGGCTTTTAAGATGTCAATAAACTTTTCAGGCACACACTTCTTCAATAGACAATCCCAGAGAACAGTCCTGTCCAACGAATCGAAGGCAGCCCTAATATCAAGGAACACTACGATTGTTGAACTGTGATAAGTTTGACTGTGTTCCAACATTTGCCGCAGGGTGACGATGTGATCAATACATCCTCGACCTGAACGAAAATCGACCTACTCCTCACGAGTCAATCTTTCTCAGATTTTGAACAATAATAGGAAATAGACTTGTCCCCCGATAGTTGTTACAGGGACGACGTGAACTCTTTCTAGAGATAGGGACAACTATCGACTCATCTCACGACGTTGAAACACTCTCTAGCTCCCAGACCTTTGTAAAGAACTCAGTCGATTCCTTAGCCAGAAAGTCACCACCAACTTTAAAAAGAGCCAGAGGTAAATCATCTGGGCTCGGTGATTTGTAGCGTTTTAAAGTTGGAGTTCCTTGCAGACTCCCGCCTCGTTAGGTGGATTAGTCGTTACTGGACATAAGAGGGCAGTGCAGTCTAATTGATGTCAACAGGGCAACAGAACAGTTGAACTGCTCGTCGTCCAAGACGTCGATAGGTGTTAGTGATAGGCATCCCGTCAACCCCACAGATAGTTTCACTCACATCAGATGAGTTGAAAGAGTTTCTGGTAGTTACCGGATGCAGCTGCTGCTTTCAACTCATTGACACGCTTCAACTATCAGGCTTCTCGACTTTTACGCAATCTTTTCCCGGTTTCATTATGTAAAAGTCGTCGTTTGTGATCAAACTCACGGTAATCGGGAGTAGACCGAGGATCTCCAATGAGTTGTTAGAAGCCTTTCGAAACCGACGATTCTCATTAGGGTTGTAGGTACGCTCGGAGCTGATTTCGGGCAAATTAATGCTGGTTGACTTAAGATTTGATTTAGTTGGTCGTGCACTCGATTTTCAGCGGCAACTTCCTCTCTGCCCACCTCTTTCCAAACGTCTGAATCGTATACTTAAACATTATATAAGGAATGTGGTTCGAAACCACACAAACGTGTACTTAGTTGTTGGGTTCCACTAACTTTATTCATTGAACTTTGTATAAAATCCCCTAGAGTATATCCACTGATTTATTAAATTTCAAGTTTCATCCAGTGTATATATTAATCTGTTTTTCACGTCATATCAAGATATCCTCAGCGTCTGTCAGTACAAGTCTGTTTCCGGATGTTACTGAGCAATTAGGAACCGTTGGGAATGGTTGTGATGTTAATAATGGTGAGAAAAATAAGAAAGCCGTTAAGCCATCCCCAAACAATCGTCAAAAGAACCATCGATCAAACTCAAAAATGACTACATCTCAAAAACAGTGATTTTCTATTAGACGTGTTAATGTGATATTTGTGTATAAATGGACAAAATACAATAAATATTCTGTTCTGGTTTATAGAAGGGTTATTGCAATATATATATATATATAACTCCTCATTAGGAATGTATGTGAGACGAGGTCATTATCGTGTCCATACATGAACTTGGAGATTTGGTTTCAACGAGTCAACAATAAAATATCTGCCACGTTTCACTAAGGTATTTCTTCCTATTGTATTTTGAATGAAGATCATTTAGTAGGGCAAAACATTTTTCCTCCGTGCTCATTAATTTCTCAGTTTCTAAAAAAAATTTGGAGGTATGTATGTATCATTGTGTAACTGGGTCACAAAAAAACATCGTTGTGAAGTTGTTTGGAAGTTTTTGAATCAAGTGTTTTGTTAGTGGACAACAATTGAAAGATTGATTATTGTGGATTTAACTAGGATATCCTACTTATTCATAAACTGTAGATGAAAATGAGGTAGTGCTTATATTATACACGCACAATTTACGATCCTGTAGCGCTTTCAGATCAACATGGTTTGATCATATGAATTTAAAAGAGAACGGTTTAGTCCTATGTAAGCTGATTAACTGATGTTAAGTAAGGTGTTATAAACTGTAGGATGCTTGTTATAACAGTTCTTTCACTTTTTACACGTATGTGGGACGTTAATTTACCTTAAACAAATATCTACACTAGATTCCCATCCAGTGTCTATTCTACAGAACTTCAACACAACTCAGATCAAAAACTAGTCTGAATAGAGCGTCAATATTTTTCCACACCAAAATCTGACACAACCCAACAACAAGGAACAGTCATTACATTAATAAGGATAGGGGAATATATATAACGCCTGTCATCCTATCTAATGTCTGACTCAGCAAAACAACCAATCACTCACTCTCGCCCACACATCAGAAGACAACCAATCTAAACCCCTTTTGCATTTGATTACTAAATGATTTCAGGATACACTAGTAAATAATCACTTCAAATCTTAATTCAGGTTTATTATGTATGTAGTTAAATATGATATGGTGGACTATGATTTACTCTTAGATTTGAAGAGCATTTTTTTTAATATTCACACATAATTTTTGTGAGTTAGTAGGATAGGTTTCTGCAATGTTCACCTATACAAGCATTGATTTGATTCTAATACATTAAACCCGCTATCCGAAATCATAAATATCAAGAGCAATAGACAAAATAAAGTAATTGTTGTATTTTATTCTCGTATAAAAAAATAAGAATAGTAGAATAGCGAAAACGATTCCTCAATTTATGGATTTAAACACAAGTTTTTGAATAATAACATTTATAGATTTTGTTCCGTATCCTTTTTTTGTATTAAACGTGATAAGTCACGTCGTCTCAGTAATTTTCTACATAGAGGACATTGATGATCACCCTGAAATTCAAGACAAAAACCAGTGTTATTACGCTTATGTTTGGAAAAAATAGTGAACTATTATGTAATCTGATAAAAAGCACAAATTAAGAATGGATTTAGAAATAAACGTTAATCCCAGTATACACATATAACCAGTTCCAATTGTACTAACACGGTAAACATGATTAATAGGCCTCACTTTAATATGAAAAATCCCCATATTGTGATTCTACTACTCATCAGGCAGTATCACAGCCCACACAGAAATCAAGTGACTTATGTGGCACATATGTATTCGGTTTCCCCTAGTACTAATATTTATGCGTTCAAATAAATATAACTGTATATTAGAGTAAAGCTTGATGAGGATCTAATCGAAAACACTATTGTTCGCTTATATATGTTCTAAATTACCTCAATAATAGTAAATAGTACTTACTTTGTCAATGATATGTCGCCAACATTTAAAACAAGCTATGTGCTTACAGCATGATATCACTGGGACTTGCGCCGGATCAGCTGAGCATTTGCAACATTTCATTGAGACTTCAGGTATCTTCTCTAGCTTCACTGGTTGATTTGAATTAAGTGCTTGGCTGCGAGACACTTGGAAGAATATGAAGTACAATACTTGGGAAAGTAAAACAACATACTTTGCTAAAATTTATTTTGTTATTGACATGAAGGATTCCTACTAATTAAATATAGTCTCAACATTTCTTCATGCTGAAGTTTTGTAGTAGTCTATGGACAAAGAATTTTTTCTAACTTGAGTGTAAGCAACAAAAAATAAGGCGCTTTACTTGATATGGGTTTAATATCTTAACAACCAGATTACTCATTTGCATTTGGAACAACTTGTTTGGCGATTTCACTTTATGAGGGTATTACTTCGGAAATAATCTTTAGTGAAATGTCTTTTGTTATTTCTCCAGACAAATATTGACGTTGCACAACTAGAGAGTAGTACTGAGGGAACTAATAAAAACTGCACTGGTTATAATTAACATTCTGATATCACCCCGAAAGAATAAACAGGAAATAGCAGACATGCTTTTGATGACTATGTAGGTTTCGTTAACTACTGGAACAATTTTTAATTTTACTCCTTGAAAAATGAATGAAAAGAATCGAAAAAGATAGTGCTAGAAATTCATATAGTAGAATACAACGTCTGCTCCCCCAGCATCCACAATTCGGTATTACAAGTATCATTGACTGATGATGAAAAAACAGAGTTTTCAGGTGGGTTTTTGCAAAACAATGAAAGAATAGACTGAGTACAGTGCATATGAGCTTATTTTAATCGATTACATACCTTGATTCGAAGTATCTACAAACTTATCTATTGAATTTGATTGAACTAATGGTAACCCCGTCAAATTATGACACAATTCAGCATAACGTTTACGATGCTCCGGTAAGATAAAACAAATTGCATCTAGTAATAAACATATGTAATAGACACATACAGATATATTGCAAAAGAATAGATTGTTTATTAATAAAACAGATATATATTTTCTAAAAAGACATTTAATATACCTGTTAAATTTGCCAATTCGTGCACAAATGTTTCGACATCATTGTAGACGACCTGTAGTTTTTTCTATGGAATGCCCACAAATATTAATTAAGGAGTCAGGCTTTCAGATACCGACTCTTTGGTTCAAAATTACGCCCCACCAATACTACGGTTTTAGACAATGAGAATATTATTGATCTTTATACTTAGAATATGGCTCATATACAAAGTGCATGGTGAGTGAGTTCATGTAGATTTCTTATAAACAATGAGAACTAGTAATTCAAAATACGATTTCAAATATTAAAACGCAATATATCTCAAATGGATAATATAAGTAATTTTCCACCCACTTATTGTTTTATTTACTCAATCAGAACAATGTTAACTCGAAGTGAATACTTTATTTGCTTTTTCAACATGAGAAATTCATCTGAGATATTCGAAAAACCGAATCATACAACTTGATTTCATTTGGAAAGATATGCTACTGGTCAATAAAAGTAATTTCTTCTATATACCTTGTGGCCGAGTGGATGCCCAGTTAACGTATGAAGATAAAACCGCCAATCAGAGAGTAGCGAATTATAGATCGGGACTAAATAATATAATTTAGAGGTATAAAATAATTAGTCCCTTTGATAAATTTTGATGATGAGGTGAGAAAACGAAGCTTATCAGAATAACATGCTATATTCATGCAATACATTTTGAAAAATCTGATCAAATACTTGTTAAGACACTAGTCACCACTTGGTGATCACAATCGATCTCTTTTATCTAAACATCTTTCCGCATATATAATTAAATTGATAGACTCAATGGTATTTGAAGCAATCGTTTAAATGATTTCAGTGAAACAAAAACGTTGACTTTTCGATGGTGAGTAGTTGGACTATGAGAAATATCATAAATTTTATATTCAGTCTTTGAAATATAAAACCATCTAAGTACCCATGCATGGGAGCGTGATACAGACTCAGTTTTTGAGTCTGAAACTTTAGTTACCCACTGTCTCCATGAATGATGAATTAATGTAAGTTCTCCATATCTCAGTGAGACTAAAAATGCTATAAGGAATCTACAACAATGGATGGCGGAAGGGTCCGATGAACTCATCGCTGAGATTTTTAAGGAGGGTGTTCCAGGTTTAGCAGTTAAATTAATTGAGATCCTAGCTAAATTCTGGGAACTGGATGTAATCCAATTTGACTAGTCTCGGTCGCTAATCGTCCCAGTTTGCAAGAAACGACAAAATCCTCTTGTGACAATCACAGAAAAATCAATCTGTTCACTATAATATTTAAACTAGCCTCAATGATCATCTAACGCTTAGCTACGTTTCGTGTAGAGCAAATCTGATAAGACAAGGCTGATTCCAAACCTCAACATGGATGTATAGATTAAATATTCACCGCTCGGCAGATTTTGAAACATAAATGTACCTTTCGATTCCACGGATTGATAGGTTTTATGGCAATGTCTATTGTTGAAATGTTTGCCAATGAGGCATGTTAACCTGGTACATGCTCACTACTGGTTGATTCAGAGGTTATGGTGCACTGTCATCGGAACTTGTTCATTCAAGTGGCGTTTGTCAGGGTTTTCCGTTTTCCACATTTTTATGTAACTTTGTCATAGACATGCTTTCATAAACAACATTTTTATCGTTTGACTTTTCGAGGGTCGATCTTCTACCAGGAGATTCCCTTGTTGACTTAGAATACCCAGATATAGTTCTATTTGGTGGAAGTGTTGACGAAATGCAGTTTTCTAACCATCTTGAGCAACAATGCAAGGATGTTTGGGATGAGATTCTCCATCTCCAAATACGAAATGTCGCTTCTAGTTCGGTCTACCTCAACGCCTGAATAAATGATAGAGAATGAAGTAGTTGAGCGTATCAATCACTTGGATTGTTTTTGGAGTGTCGTCAGTTGTGATGGGTTAGTGCCTGAAGAAATCTCAACACGAATTCAGAATGCCTGATGGATGTTTACCAACTGGCGTCACTTATGGCTTTAAGAAGATAACCGTCTGCAACCGAAGGGCAAGTTTACTGCCCATCAGTTTG